GTTGTAATTCACTTCCCTGTGACCCGCAGCAGATATCACTGTACAGATAAATGCATCCCCCTGAGAAGCTACCCAACCAACCAAATGGATATTTTTGCACATGTATTGTCCCGCCTCCTCACACAGACTTTTACCCTGTTATCAATTTACGCAGGCTTACCTAAATGTATAGAACCCCCCCCCCCCCCCTCCCCTGGCTTGCTGAATGGATGCTTTGTTTGAGGACCCTGGTCTCAGGGCTGCACAGCACAGACGGGGCTGCTGCTGCTTTGCATTAATCCAGTACAGTGTGTGAAATAACACCTTCACAGGTCAGCTATCAACCGAGAGGCTTCGCTCCCAGGACCATACCAGGAACACCCAGGGATAAAATACCATCAATGTGAATAAAGTGAATTAATTAGCTATTTATTAATCACTTTAAGGTAATTCGATTGATACATTGTCACACCTAATTGCAATTTATTTAGTGGTTTGTTTTACGGTTTTTAATGGTTTTTTGTATGTTCCGCCATTCAAAATGAAACACTATATAGATCCTTTAAGACCGTAAACGCTTAACATGATGGGGATTCAACAATATTTCTTATGTTTCGTAGAGAACAGAAATCATTAATCAAACGTATATTGATTTGGGGGGTTTGGATGTGAAGCAGAGTGTTGATGTTGATTTAAGTTGATTTAGTTCTCACTTTCTTGTTGCATGTGTTCAAACCTCACACGTCCCAAATGCTCAATAAGCACAAATACCTTAAACCATCACAGCAGAAACGTTTTGGCTCAATGGAAATTAGACTTACAACTTTATCAAGAAGATGCTAAAAATGTGTCCTGAGGTGGGGGTGGGGGCTCTTTGTGTACGTGTTCGTGTGTGTATATATGCACAAAAATCTACACATATAAAATATACAAAATATGTATCAACAGTAAACATTCTCGTTTCATTTTTAAATCAGAAACAAGACTTTTATTTGTTGATATTTTAAGATGGATGGTTTTATTCTACTTTTCCTCTATAAGATGTCATTGTTTTAAATATACGAAGGACTAAAGAAAACCAGTGTGTGCGTGTGCCTACTGTGTGTGTGTGTGTGTGTGTGTGTGTGTGTGAGTGCCTCTGTGTGCGTGTGTGTGTGTGTGTGTGTGTGTGTGTGTGTGTGTGAGTGCCTCCGTGTGCGTGTGTGTGTGTGTGTGTGTGTGTGTGTGTCTGTGCGCGTGTGTGTGTGTGTGTGTGAGTGTGTGTGTGTGTGTGTGAGTGCCTCTGCGTGTGTGTGTGTGTGTGTGTGTGTGTGTGTGTGAGAACCAGAGAACAAGGGTACCGGTGTCTCTTCGCCCCTGAGTCAGACTGCCGTGTCGGGTCCTTCCGCCTCGCTCTTCTTGGGGGAGACATTCCTGGAGAGAAGACCTGTATGACCTTTGTATAAAGAGACGGGTCTCTCGGGTTATGCTTCACCCGGTGACTCCTGGTAGAGGGCAGCGGCTCTCTCCCGGCGGGAGGGAAAAGAGGGAGCTCTCTCATCAGAGAGGGGGTGGATCCGGAAGAACACTTTAGAGCTGAAGACGTCAATTATTTGTTTCTGCTTTCAAAGAGAAACGAAATGATCCTTCTAGAGCGTAAAGCTGCTTTACAGGTTGGTAACAGCTGGTCTGTTTCCAGATGCTTTACTGTGACGGCTCTACTAGGATACGTTGTTCATGAGATTATTTTCATTATATTCACGTAAAAGCAGGATTGTACTGTTGTTAAAGTGGAGCTGGCTGAATTATTCACCAATGGTTATTTTGACGATGGATTAATCTGCTGATTGGATTTGTTCTTCCGTCCGTTATGGGATCCTGTGCTTTTCCACTACGACTCATCTTTTTATCATCAGCTCCGTTTGGTCTCAGACTCGTCCTGTTCTTCCACTGTGATCAAACATCTTCTGTGAAGCCCTGGAGGCTCTCCTGCGCCCTCTAGAGGGCTCCCGGTCTCCGTGAGGGCCTCCCCCCCCCCCCCCTCCCCCTGATGGGGGGCTCCGGTGCCGCTGTGAGGCTGCATGAGTCCAGGAGCTCTCAGGACTCCGAGGAGCTGGACGGACCCCCCGCCTCTAAACCCACGTGAGTGGGGCAGCGATCGTAACCACCCCCCCCCGTTTGAAAGGAGGCGGCTCGTTACAGAAACGCTGCGTATTCTGAGAGAACTTTCCATTCCAGAAGGTCTCGTCTGGGCAGAGATGTGCACGGGTTGTATCCAGGACAGCTGGCCAGGGTCCACACCGCCCCCCCACAGGATTGTGGGTACGGTCAAATTACGCTTTGAGATGATTTGATCTAAAGAAAGTCAAGTTATATGAAGTCAGATTTGATTCGATTACGAGATTTCCCATTTTTTAAATGCACAGCTTAGCGCAGAGATCACACCTGTGATCACACCTGTACTCTTGTGCATTTACGTGGTGACTCGTCACTTCTCACGGCGGAATGAACCGATTCCTCCCTGTTCAGGACACTGTGCAGCAGAAGGTCTGGACTCCTCAGCGAGTCTCCTCCGGGGGAAAACTACCAGCGGAGCTTTGACCTTTGCACCCTGAGAGCGGTGACCCCCCTCCGCCTCCGTCCAGCCGCGCCGGAGCAGCGCCCCCCACAGAGCACCTACCGAGAGCAGTTTCAGTCTCCTCTGTTTCCGCAGTAGAAAACAACGTCCAACAATGAAAAAGTCATGAGTTTAAAACGCAAAATGCAGAAAGGACAACTTGCAAATAATTGATTGTATGAATGTGTGAAACTAAAAGACTGGGCGGGGCATTGGTTGTGGAATGTAAGGTAATCTGAGTGCCCCCCCCCCCGGCGTGCTTCACGGCCCCTGAGAAACGCGAGTTGTTCCTGCAGAGAAACAATGCTGTTGTTGTAACATCGGTAACGTTTGCTCCGTCCGTGAATGCAAACCGGCCCGACAGCATAACCCCAAGTTTGTTTTCCTCCACCTTCATAATGTCATAGATATTTGTGTTTGTACGCTGTGTGAACCAAATAAACAAACAACTAAAAGGAACAAACCCTTTCGCAAACAAAATAAAAATGAAAGTCTGAGTTTAAAAGCTTGTATTGATCTGAATGAATGAGATGATTTAAAGCTTCTCTGTTTTAAAACACTTGAGCAGATTATCAGTGGCACAAAACCACAATGACTCTTTGGATTCAGACACAATAAACTACTGTAGATCAGCGAGAACTTGTTACGCTGATGACGTGACTGTTTATTTAGCATGGCTTGTACTGTGATGGGGGGAGTATTCAGATATTTCTCTGCTACATTAGTCCATCAGAAGTGAAAGTATTAGGATTCATACATGTTGTATCATCGTATTATGATCAGGTTCATCAGCCAAACACATCTTTCAGTTGACTAAAGATCAGATGTAGATGGATAACCCTTTGCACGCTGTTGCGTTACATAAGAGCCGCTCCGCCTTTCACCGCTTCATGAAAAGCCTGCTGAGCTCCGTCAGCTCAACCCTCCACTAGAATGGGGATGTTACATAATCACGTTTTACCTCTAATAAACTCGACTCCCACAACTTGTGAAGAAATTCATTAATGTGCGTTTGTACGGCGACAACAAATGGCCAAACCAGACAAACCAGCTGTCTTAGTCCTCTGAGTCAACAACACGTCCGCCGAGTTATTTTAATTATTATTTCACAATTATTATTATTACATTGTTACAATTTATACTACTCTGCGTTCCTGGCGAAGAAGAAGTCGGTCCCAATACACAATACGTCAGAAGTACCAGGACGTGTTGCTGCGGATGCTAAGAACTGTTGATTTAACGCCGCAGATTTTGACATTAATCGTTGTCCGTTAGTGGTGCAAGAAGAGCATATTTCTTCGCATGGCGTGGTGATATTTAAGTTGGCCTCAAATCTCTGTCGAGCAGACATTAAATCTGCGCAGGTTCAAGGTGTGCGAATCAAACAGCCCACAGATGCAAACTACTTCCCCGTCACCTGAGAACAGCTTGGCCTGCCAGAACGGGGCAACCGTGCTGCGGATGGGAACCAGTTAAATCTGAGGCTCGGCCCCGCTGACCCCAAAAGGAAAAGACTCGCCAAAGTAATTGGTGTTAGCGAATCTCCTCTGTGCTCGTGGTTATTGACGGTTTTTGTAGTTTAAAGAGTAAACCGTGTGCATTCCACGTGCAACGGGTACTTTGTGAAGGCAGCGGCAGTGCAGTGTCTGCCTACGGACTTGTCCCTAGCCGTCCCCACAACCCCGAGGTCAACGCACGTCTATTCAGCATGTCTACGATCCAGCAGATCCCCTCAGGCAACAGGTCCGAACCCGTTGCTGCTGGCTGTGGTTGCTGATGAGAGCAGTGACACTGAAGCCAAACACTGTGCGCGAGAAGTGGGAGCGGTGGACGCCGGGTCCCCGGTTCGTGGTCTGCGACTGCTTGAGCCTCCGAGGACGACGGGTGGGCCCTGACCATCTTGGGCCGACGTCTTATTGGGCCGGAGGTGGAGCGAGGACGAGGCGTTCTGCAGTCACTGATTGATACGACACCACCAGACCCCCCACACATGGACCTCTGGACTCCTTAAGCGCGTGTGATTCTTTCACGTCGCTGCGGAACGCTGCAGAAGCGTAAATGTGCCCTTCAGGTAACATGACACCCGATTGCACAGCGTGACCAGTGAGTCACAGCAGCCATTGTGTGTCGCTTTTTGCCGTGACTTTCACGATTTCCCTGTTCCTGCCTCGCAAAGCATGTCACGAATGATGCAAACTGGTAAAGCCGGTTGGTTCGCGGGTGGAAAACATTGCATAGAAAATCAGACCTTTTCACTCGGAGACAAAGAGCAGCAAACATTCATCAGACACTGCAGGTGGAACAACCTGGTGAGACACATCGCTTCTTCTTCTTTCCAAACAAATTAAAATATGGGCATATTTACTCGGTTAGACGGTTAATGTTACTGCTTCGGTACAACTTGTAATTTATAACTGTGAGTGAATTCATTTGGGATGCAGTAAAAATTGTTAAAATGAGATTCTAAATATGTACTTTAATGGACATTAAAAGTTTAATTCTATTCCCCTTAAAATGTTTTGCCTGTTTTTTGGCTCACTTGCATTGTTTCAACAAATTCTCCTGAAATGTGGATGAATCCCTCCCAACAGCACAGAAAAAATGTAATTTGACTAATTTTCATTTTTTCATAGCCGACAGCTCATGTCTTCATCCTGTGAACTGTGGTCACCACTAACACAAACGATTAGAACACGCAAGTCAATCTAATGTTTTGTTTTTCCTCATTTTCCCCAGAGACGTATTGGAAATGAAGTTGGGGTTGCTCGTTGTTTTGGCCGTGGCGGTTCTGGTGCCGAGCCTGTCGGATGGTCGGACCGTCTCAAGATGCGAGCTGAGAGACAAGCTCAGGGAAGCAATCAGCCTGCCCAAGAGGCTTCAAAAATACAAGGACCAAATCTTAGAAATAGGTGAGGTTGATATCCATATTAGGAGAAAGAGGGTTTGTTCATGCAATCAGGAAGAAAAAGAACTCTGCAAAAATAGAGGAAGTGGTTGACAGCAATGACCTTTTCACCTTTGAACATTTTCTTTTGTCTTTTTTCCTTCTTTGCTTCCTGCTGCGTAATCGCTTGACTTTTTCTCTGCAGTTATCTGTAAGTTGGAAGCAAGTTCCCATCTGAAGACCGATGCGGTCCAGTCCGGCGCCAAAAACCAAACTACAGAAACCAAGCCGACGAGTGACAAGCCATTGATTACCAAGCTGTTGACCACCAAACCACCAACTACCAAACCACCGACCACTGTGCCACCAACTAGCAAGCCATTGACCACCAAACCATCAACTACCGTGCCAACGGGCAACTTATCTGTCAACATCAGACGAAAGCGCGACGACACGACTAGCGAGGATCCCGAAATAAAAGAGCTGGAGGAAGTGGGCAGCATTGTAAATGAAGGCATGGAAGGTGGGCTTAACGATGAGGACAAAGAGACTGATGAGAACGAGGTGATTGATGATGATAAAGAGACTGATGAGAACTTGGGGATTGATGATGATAAAGAGACTGATGAGAACGAGGTGATTGATGATGATAAAGAGACTGATGAGAACGAGGTGACGGCTGATGATAAAGAGACTGATGAGAACGAGGTGACGGCTGATGATAAAGAGACTGATGAGAACGAGGTGATTGATGATGATAAAGAGACTGATGAGAACGAGGTGACGGATGATGATAAAGAGACTGATGAGAACGAGGTGACGGCTGATGATAAAGGGACTGATGAGAACGAGGTGACGGATGATGATAAAGAGACTGATGAGAACGAGGTGACGGCTGATGATAAAGAGACTGATGAGAACGAGGTGATTGATGATGATAAAGGGACTGATGAGAACGAGGTGATGGATGATGATAAAGAGACTGATGAGAACGAGGTGACGGCTGATGATAAAGAGACTGATGATAATGAGGTGATTGATGATGATAAATAGACTGATGAGAACGAGGTGACGGATGATGATAAAGAGACTGATGAGAACGAGGTGATTGATGATGATAAGGAGACCGATGAGGACGAGGCGACCGATGATGATAAGGAGACCGATGAGGACGAGGTGACTGATGATGATAAGGAGACCGATGAGGACGAGGTGACCGATGATGATAAAGAGACAGATGAGGACGAGGTGACCGATGATGATAAAGAGACTGATAAGGACAAAGAGACTGAGGAGGACAATGATTCAGGTGAGGGCAAAGACAAAAAGAGCGATATTGTCGAGGGGATGGAGGATGAAGTGATAACCAATGAGGACAAAGAGACTGATGAGGTCATAGGTGCTGATGAGGACAAAAAGAGAGATACTGTTAAGGGGATGGAGGATGACATGATAACCAATGAGGTCATCGATACTGATGGGGACAGCGACAGTGATGAGGGCAGAGACAGTGATGAGGACGAAGAGACTGATGAGGACAGCGACAGTGATGAGGGCAGAGACAGGGATGAGGACGAAGAGACTGATGAGGACAAAGAGATAGATATGGGTAAGGGGTTGGAGGATGACGTGATAACCAATGAGGACAATGACGGGAAAGACGGTGACATGATAAGCGCTGAGAAAGAAGAGGGTGATGAGGGGAACGACGAAGACGAGGACGAGGACGAGGACGAAGAGGTGGAGGAAGGCGGGAAACGTGAGAGGCGCAACATCCGCCGCAGGAAGCCTCGCGGGAGGCTGGGATCGGGCTACTACGGGCTCTTCCAGCTGTCTGACAGGTACTCCTGTGATCCCGGTTCCGGCTGGTCCCTCAACAAGTGCGGCACAGAATGCGCAGGTGAGTCCTCGACCCGGAGCGCCACGGAGGTCTTAATTAAACCAAGAAGACGTTTCACACTGTAGTAACTGTTTGTCCTTTACCCACGAAGCCTTCATAGACGACAACATAATGGATGACCTCGACTGCTTCGTGAACAGCGGAGCCTGGTGGTAAGTCAAAGTGTTGCCTCGCGCTCGTCCTGAAATGAGGGTCGAATGTGAAACCAGAGACAGCGATGAAACTGGTACACTGGCCACGCCGAATGTGGCTGGTTTATTTACAGTGCATGAATACATATTTAAAAGTTCATACAGCATTCTTAGAAATGCCCTTTTGGGTTTTCAGCTGCTACTGTCACTTGTTGTTCAACTTCTGCTTCCGTGTAAACAGGAGTTTGTTGAAGAAGCCCATCGGCCGGTGTCACAGGACCAAGAACTTCTTTGACAAATGTGAATGAGCGGCTGAGACATTTTCTACAGGCGGGACGTCCGCCCGCCGAGGATTTCTTCATCTCCCCGACTCTGTGAAACATTTTATCATTCGCAATATTTGATTGATTTGTTTGGATTTTAGTCTGAATCTCATTCTTCATTTTTAATATTTTTGATGATATTGTTTTATCACTTTTATCACTACCTTTCTTTGAGATGTACAACTAACATTATTCTTGCTTCTTTTCTATATCTGTGATCTTACAATAAAGGTGTTTTTCTGCATATTTCTGGATAAGAACACTACTGCGAACTACTGTGAACTACTATGAGAACACGAGGCAGAGCTTATTAAATTCTATTTACAAGAAATGTGTACAGTTATGAGTATTTACGCTTCACGGACATCTATACAATTATGTGTAACACAGGTTTGAATGATTGTATTTATAAGGCACACTCTGGTTGTGGTGCTCTGACGCTTCCCCAAAGCTCCGCACACCCTCGAGACCCTGCAAACAGTTCTTCGGAGGGGGCAGCAGGTAGGTGACCCGGTGGTGAAGGGCCTCCTCAGTGGAAAGTTCTAACCAAGGTGCATCTCATGAACCATCAACTGGCAAGTAGGTAAATAGCCGGAGCACAACACAATGTCACGATGTCTGACGATGGAAGGACAAGGAATTGGACGGAGTCGACCGCCAGGGAGAAGAAGAAGAAGAGGAGGAAGAGGAGGAAGAAGAAGAAGAAGAAGAAGAAGAGGAGGAAGAGGAGTGAGGCTGCCTGGCGGAGGAGTCGGGAGGCAAAACAGAGGAAGAGGCAGAAGTGTGTTCCCGAGGGGATAAGAGCCACACCTGTGCACACATCATGGGCCCCGCGGAGCCTTTTAACACACTACAGGGATCCCATCCCTGAACAAGAGGGTCACATTGGAGATGATTTAGTAAATAGTTTGGGGCAATGTCAGTTTCCATGGCTCCAACATCGTAAGGCTTCCAACAGGATGCTTTCTCTCATCCCACTCCTCATTCCTAAAAACCCATTAAGGATTTTTTGTAAGCGTACGTACACAGACGACCCTTCTGTCTGTGATGGAGGCAGCGTGTGATGACATCACAGCAGAGGCTGGATAGGACACACTGAAAAGATTGTCCTATCCATCGCAAGAGAAGATGTCCGCGATGTGGATGAGAACCTGTGGCCCAACAGACGTGTAGGAATGATTCACTGCACCTCCTACAGCGCTGCGTGTACGGCTTCCCCTGCAGATCGTCCTGTGTTACATTTCTACTCTTCCTATTCTTTCTTTGTGCCGCGCAGCACTGCCTTTCCCTTTCTGTATCGCAATGACACGGTGAAGCATTTCCTCCATTATGATATGAAATAAAACAATGATGTCTGGCTCTGTTCGTCATGTAGCATCAGCTGTCTCGTTCCCTAGCTGGTTACAGAGGGACGGGGGGGGGGGGGCGTATAACCTTTAGGGGGATCTATTGCCAGGGAATATAATATGAATAAGTACGTCTTCCATTGTGTATGATGGCCTTTGTTGGGTTTCGTCACTGTAAAATGAGCAGTTTCACAGTTGACCTTTTCGCCCTGAGGTCAAAGCCGACGCTTTGCGAAAACAAATAACCACATTTTGACTGCGGCGTTAACGTCGAGGACCTGTCAATCCCAATGAGTGGCCCCCGCCCCCTGAGCACAGCCTGCTTTGCTCTGAATAATCATTTACCCGATGAACATCCTGCTGCATTGAAGACGACTTTAGCGATTGGGACCGTAAACCCGTGTTTGCAGTGTTTTGCGAGGAAACTAATCCAAGAGGGCGTAGTTAATTTCTTGGTGCACTTGGCACAATGGAGAAGATGCAATCTGCCTCCTCGCCACTGCTCGTCGTCCAATACATCACCAATGTTCCCTTTCTCCGTTACACATATCTATGATACGCCCAGAACTAATTTAAAAAGGTTTTCCCTGAAACCGCTTGTTCTCCTGCTCACCTTTCACTTTTCTCAAACGCTTTTCTTGGTATTGCTGCTGGCTTTCAGGAGACAAACATGATATCTGTGGCCACACACACTGTATTCACCCACGACATCCCAATCCTGGCGAGTTATGAATGCGTCGCGGTGGCGTGAGAAGACAAAAGGGTGTCGCCTTAGCTGCTTTCGCCGTCTCACGGCCAAACGTCTTTTCAGCAGCACAAAGGTGGGACCAGATGTTTTTCAGGTGGGCGGATGAGTCCCCCTCCCCTCGACCTCCACACAGCTCAGAGAACGAGGTGCGAGAAGGACGACGACGTGCGTCACGTCGCATTACATCGCGTTCCACCCCGAGCCGATTGTTCGGCCTTTGTCCGAGCGGAACAAAGGACGCGGTTCCCCCTCTGCACCCCGCGGCCGGTATATATCCGCCGTGCGCCCCTGCCTTGGGACCACGGAGCCAACATGAGGGTGTTTGTGACGTTTCTCCTGTCGGTGCTGGGCGCCAGTCTGGTCGAAGGGCGAATTGTGTCCAAATGTGAGCTGCAGACGGCGTTGGTCAACCTGCAGGACGCCAACGACCCGCGGGGGCTCACTCCGGACCTGATGGCCAAAAGTAAGTGCTGCTTTTTAAACGAAACGCAGTTGGACGTCGTCGTCGGGTAAAAGTGCCTAACCTCTCTTCCCTTCAGTCGTGTGTCACGTGGAGCTGGCGTCGGCCTTCAACACCAGCGCCGTGACGAGGCTGGACCGCCAGCGGGACCGCAGGAGCTCGGGCGCCCACGGGTCCGGGAACTCTTCGGAGGAGAAGTCCCCGAGGCCCGACGGGAGGCCCGTGGAGGTGCACTCGCTCTACGGCCTCTTTCAGCTCAGCAACCAGCTGGTCTGCAGCGACGGCGCATCGCCGTCCCCCAACATCTGCGCCATGAGCTGCGACGGTGAGCTGCGGTTTGTCTGCCTGTTTGCGCTCCATTTCAAACCCGCGTCTTTGCTTTTGAAACAGTCCGTTTCTTTCCCCCGCAGAGCTGATCGACGACAACATAAGCGACGACCTGCTGTGCGTGTCGAAGGTCCGCGAGACCCTCATGTGAGTTCCTTTCTCGTTGTCCTTTGCACGCGTTTAAATTCCCCATCACACTGTTTCTAAATGGAACAAAAGAGAACAATCCGTTACGCCGGAACTTCCCCGAGGTGTTGGTGAGGAACCTTCATTTATAGATCAATATTTATGTCATTTGTATAGCAGATTTTCTTGCTGGTCTTGTTTACTTATTTGTATTTATGTCCCATGGAGGTATCAGGAGACTTTAAGTGCAAAGTTCTTCTAACACCTGAATATTAATGCAACTTAATGAATCTACAGTACACTTTTACATTTGTCTGTTAGCTTCAGTTAGTTTATAGATGTTAGTTTTTCATCTCCAGGTGATAAAATGAAGGATGTATTTTAGGTGTTAAGAAAATCCTTGAACTTCTAAAGCGAAATAAACTTTTCCAAAAGTTTTCTTTCCAGAGATACAACAACATCACGCGTTAATGAATAATGCTGCACACATATTTGGCCGTAATATGAACATCTGGATGCTTCTTCCACCAGTGCCGCCTTATCGCAGATGAATAAAAACTGTATTTAAGTCAAGGAACAACAAGAAAACAAATCTCTGGGTGGAAGCAGAATTGAAGGATTCATCAAAACGAGCATTTAGCAACCAGGCTAAAAAAAAACATGAGAACATCTGGATTTCTGATGTGATTATTTCCACAGGAAAAATGGTTTTCGGGCGCGATTCTTTGAAGAGCTGAAGAAATGGTGAGTTGGAGCTGCTGCTAGATCCTTTCCGAAGGGAAAGCTGGGGTTTTCCACATCACACCGGATCACATCAACGTGACGGTTAAATCCGACATGTCCTCTTTCTGACACAGACGCGTTGATTACCGCTCAGCTGTCACATGAACATCTCCTCTGCTGCTTCGCAGGTTCATAAACATCTACCGGGAGTGTGGAAATAAGACGCCTGCCTACCTGGACAACTGCGTCCTGCCCTGATTGGACTCACAGCGTGGGACAAACGGCCAACACCATCCGCCCTTTGTTGTAGAGAATTCACTTCTGAGAGAATTATATTAAAAATCATTGAAAGGCTTTGAGTTTCTCTGTGGAAATCATTACTGTATTTACAAATATTTGTCTGGGCTTAGACCCCAGAAGTAAACAAACATGTCGTTTTTGTGATGAAGAAAGACATCGGTCTAAAGAGTCAACGGATTGAGCATATAATGGTTTTATGGCTGTTTTCTTACACAGACATTTTTGTACTTTACCATAGATTATGTTAATTTTTTAATTAAGGCACAAGGCTTTAAAAAGACCAGCTGAAGCCGCGTTGTTGTTGTTGTTCTGACCACTAGAGGCCTCTGCCCTCATCGAGCATGACTCCATTGTGTCGCAATAGATGTGATGAAATCTTATTATATTATTAGTATAAGTATTTTTTAATTAAACCTCCATAAATGAGACAGGTGGAGTTTTTAATGAAGATGATTACTCGTCAATAACTGACTCAAAAATGTGTTTTTTTTGTTGGTATTGTTGTTTTTTAAATGTGTTTCATATTCTGCTGTATATTTTATTTTCTTATATGTGTGATTTAATTTGACAAGACACACCTTCCAATGATGACTTTGATACAAATATGATTAACAGTAAATAACGTAAATTGGATGTCATTGAGGTCAAAGGTCAACGGACCCCTCAGCCTGTTTGGGACGAGCTTCCTCATGGCGGACGTGGGGAAAATACAAATAACCTTCAGGTTTTGACACAAAGGGCAAAGTGAAATACATTAAATGTAATGTCCATTTCTCAGCTGCTGATGGCGACAAACACAAACAACAGGTTGTCTCTCGCTCCTCAGGTAATATTTGTTTTGCATAAAAGGTGGTTTTCCTATTCATATATATTTATATATATATATATATATATTTGGATCGTATTTTCTTGTATTTATAGTTCCTTTTGGTAAAAGCAGTATTCGGTGAAAACGATGTATATATATTTATGTCTGTTCGCAGATATCTATATGGCTTTGGAGAGATTCATGAACACCGCGATGGCGTCACTTCCGGGGACCTCATCAAGGTGTGTTTCAGGTTGGGCAGGTGAAAATTGGTTGCGCTCACACAACACACCCAGGCGGATACGCGCGTGCGGAAGAGGGACACGCAGCCGGTCGGTTTCTCTCGCTCGGGACGGACGTTCGGAAGGGAACCGGGGGGCCCGCGTGCCGGTTACGGGTGTCCGCGGGTGATGTGCCGGTGACGGAGGCTTCTAATCGGTGAACATGCCGCCCGGTGGTGCGTTCAGGGCCCTGCTGCTCCTGCTCTGCGGGGCGTCCGCTGGTACGTTTCTAAACTTACAATAGAGTTCAGTTCAAATAAAACCGCTAAAACATATTAAATCTCTTTTTTTTTTAAACTTATTATTAGAGTTTAGCATGTTTTGCTACACAGGATTGTGTTTAGCCCCTAAAAGGTGAATGTGTGTGATTTAACTCTGCTCAGACTAAAGGGTGAATGTGTGTTGGTCCTTATTTAAAGCCACTGACCTAAACCTTTTAGTTAAGTTCAGTCTAGATTAATAGGAAATCGTAACAGAACAGCAATTTATAATAATTTCCTGGAATAAAGATATTGATTACGTAAGACTGTGTGTGATAACGAGATAATGACTGGAGGTGCAACCAGCTTTGTTTGGTCAAAGGTCAAAAGTCATATTTTTTGGCCATATTTTTCAGAATTTGTCGTCTAGTTTCATGACAATTCAACACAAATGAATAAAGACATAGACATCTTTTTGACTCTACGTGTCAGGTGATGGATGCTTCCCACTTTTTACACTTTACAGATGTTCCGAACATATTTTAATTGATCCATCAAACATCGATTGACAAAGTCCATAATGCATATATAGATCTATAATGCATACATGGATATATTGTTCCCGATAATATGAGTCACAGGTACGTGGATGGAACGCTCGAGACGTGTACAGGTTCCAGGTCCAGAGGTTGTTTATGGGCATTTTATAATCACCTGCTTAATGAGTAACCAAACAGGAAACCAGCATTCACAGTGCTGGTGATGTAGAAGAACCTCCAGGAGCATCATAAAGTGAATTGTTGTGGTGTTTCTCAATCGTAAAGCAAAGGCGGTGCAATGTGATGTGTTTGCAGAGCAGACGTGAAAGAAAGGGTTCATTTACTCTCCGATCAGATGCGATTGATTGATTGTATTGCTCAAGATTTTTTCTGATTTAGGTAATGATGACCCCAATGGTCGATCATGTGATCAAACGGAGCGCTCCCCTTTCAGCGGAACGGACTTTGTTGAAACAATTGTCAAGTGCACATCCATAGCGTGTTCTAAACATGCGTTGTAGTCCGCTCATGGCGCTGCATAACACAGACATGAGCGCTCATCCCACCCCGTTGGGATGAACCGGAATGCTGAGAGAAACTAAACCACCCGCATCATCCTGAAACTCTCTGGGGTTACGGAACTGATTAAGAACACATTAGAAGAAGAGCGGGTGAGGCTGATGTCAGGAATGCCGCCGGGCGGGAAGATGCTGTGTGTTGTCCTCAGCCGCCATGTGGCAACAGGAAGCATTTGAAGGAGTGTTCCTGATTGACAGTGTTGGGAAATAAGTGTTTTTTTTGCCCGTTCATGGCTGTAACAAGAGAAACAACATGTCTGCACAGATGCGCTTTGGTTCGCTGGGATGTGTGATGACGTCATGCCTCCGTCAGTGACGGATATACGGGATCAATAAGCTCGTAATGACGGTTTTCTTTATTTTCCCCCAATGACTTTATTACCTGATCCTGTATTGATTATCGATCTTATCTTCAAAAACACCCCCCTGATTTTCCCAACATCACTTCAGTAGAAGTATTCTTCAGCTACTTTAAGTGAAACCCATCGTGCGGTCAAACGTTCCCTGCTGATTCCCTCCCGTTCTCCCGCAGCGGCGCCGCCAGGAGGCCTGAATGTCACCTGCCACAACCAGCAGGTGACGGTCAGCTGGGAGGACAGGGGCCCGGGGACCAGCTACACCGTGCGCGTCGAAGGGTCGGCGGGGTGAGAAACGGGCGGCTTTGTTCCCTTGGTTTGATTCATTTAAAATAGCGGTTTGGATTATCGACGGACATCACTGAATAAGGATGATTTATGCCGATGTTTCCAGTGAGAATCAAACACACGTTTGCTGTTGTATAAAAGGATTAACAATCCTAAATTTAATGACAAACCTCCAATTCAACAATATCAACTTTTTTGTTACATCTAAGCTACTGTTTATTTGACTCACCTACCATCTTTTTTATATTTTGTCTCTGCTTTCATTTATCTTTTTGTACCATCCTCACCTATTGTATTATTCCTCGTCTTTGTTGGTGTCACCAACAAGTTGTTCTGATAATAATAATAATAATCAATAGGTAGAATTTCGTGGTGGTCGGTGGTGGGATGACGGACTGTGGTTTGAGGAATGCTAATAATATACTTCCACAAGGGAGCAAGAGAGCGAGACCACGGGTAACCGGTACGATCTGACCCGCTTCGTCTGGGCCTCTGAGGACCGCTCCCTGGGCTTCCACTCCGTCACCGTGACGGCCCACGACGGAGGCAACCAGTCTGAGACGATGGAGTCTGAGACGTTCACCTTTAACCATTTAAAACCAGCTCATATAAAATGTAAGAGACACAAAATCCATGGAGAGCAGATGTGGGCCGTACGTTTGACACCTCCTGCACCAGAGTGTAGTTCAAGTTAGAGAAGAAGAAGACGACGGATGACTGGACATAAAAGTTGACTTTCTCTTCTCAGGTAAATTAGATTTCCCCCCCGTGGACCTGAATGAGGCCAACTCTGAGTTCACGCTGAGTTTCCAGAACCCCCTCCTCTTATACACAGAGCTGAAGCAAGTCCCCGGGTCGAGTTCGCCCACCTTTACGTTCAATGGTGTAAGTACAATAACGGTGAATTACTGTATTTGGAGGACCTTGTTTTTACGAGGTCGATTCCTTCAGCCCCAAGCAACACAGTTCCATTGAGCAAACGCAAACGACGTCAACCTGCTTTCGGTTCTGTGACCTTTCAGAGCAACTTTTCGGGCGAGTGCCACGCCAAAGACAAGGAGTGCAAGCTGACGCTGCCGGGCGGGTTGCCCGCGGGCGAGCGCTGCGTGCAGAGCCTGGACGGGAAGCTGGCCTACGGTTCCCGCTTGATTTCCTTCCGAAAGACGGGCCCCATCTGTGCCCCCGTCTCTACTGGTGAGTCTGATGAGGGCTTTGAGCCCCACATGAAGGCACCACGTTCTACAAGGTCGTCGCGCTTGTAGGATCTCGTAGGGGAGAGAAAAGTATGAAGTTCCACGAATGGTCTTGAATCTGCGGAGCTAAAAATGTGTCTTTTGTGGATGTCAGATTGGGGCGTGTTGCACAGCGTGGTGCTGTCTCTGATGCTGCTGCTCTTCTTCATCGTGACCTCTGTGGTGATAGTCCTCATCTGCAGAGTGAAAGCCTGGACCATGAAGAACAACCCGGCAAAGACCCCGGTAAGGGGTCCATATCGCACAAAAATACATCTGCGTAAATTGCGTGGCTTTGGTTGTTGTTTAAAACCCCTTTTTGGTTCTCTGTCTGTCCCCCCCCCCCGTCTCCTCGTCCACGCAGATCTCACTGGTGCTGGACGCCCATGAGGGGGACATGAGGTACGCACTCGTTTCCCGCGAGGACCTCAGTCCCGTCACAGTGACGGAGAACCAAATCTCCAGAACCCTCCCGGTTTGCTCCGAGGAGGACCTCCGGCTGGACGGGGGGGTCTCAGAGGACGACGGGGGGGTCTCAGAGGACGACGGGGGGGTCTCAGAGGACGACTCTGAGGAAACGGAGGCCGAGTCGATTGACTTGCCGCACTACGACCGCAGGCAAATGCTGGAGGTGGACATGGGCGATGGAGACCTTGCCATTGGTTACAGCCACCGACGAGTTGTGACGGCCCCCGGGGACCACGAGAGAGCCGGGGCTCTCGGGGGACATCGGAACGCAAACGGACACTTTGATTTGATTTTCATGGAAATGGCTTAGAGGCCGTAGAAGTGTTGCTGGTTCTGTGTGCAGCTGCAAGTCAGAAAGGAGGTTTTTTTTAAACAGTTCAACCAAAGAAGACCTTTTCTCACCTGCCAGTGTCCAGATTACATGAGGGTGAACGTTTTACACAATTCACAGGGACTATTTCTTCAGTGGAAAGTAGTTCTAATGGGAAGTATTCATGCAGACGTCCACAGCAAACAGTTTTTATTTATTTATGGAGGGTGAAACTTTAAAATCTGATAATTTTAGTCTCAACAAACCGCAGCCGATTGAAATAAAAGTGCCAATTGAAGTCAGAAGAAGGGATTTGGCTTCACACGTTGTTAAAGTTGATTCACTGTGAACTTTGAAGGAGCCATAAATACATTTTAAGCCTCGTGACCGACACACCTCAGTCCGCTGTTGCCGGGCAACCTGCTGAACTGGATCCACTGGTTTGCGTTTGTTCGTATGTCGGGAAATTTGACTGTTGTTTTGTTTTTTTGTAAATATGGATCTTTACAATCTTTTTGAGGGTTGAACAGGGGTGTGTTTGTTCAGATTTTTTTCAATAAAAGACACAAAACAATATTGATATTCTGATATTCTTTTATAAACTCCAAACTTAAGAGAGAACTCACCTGACTTGAAGGCAGAGCTTTGGCACAAAACAAAATGAGAATAGAAAAGTCTTTCTGATGACTGATACCAGCTCACAGAACAGGTTGATAAAGTTCAGTTCATTGTTTAACTATTGAGGAGCAATAATACCTGCTAAAGTGTGTGTATATACACACACACACACGAGTGGAATCAATCCTCTGACTCCCTGCAAGCGTATTTCACTAATTATACAAACTATCGCACGCAGAGTTCCAGACCAACCGTTGGTCATCAGCCTTTAGTTCACCGGCGTGTGTCTGTTTGATTTAAATAAGGTGTTAAAAGCTGCTTGGAGATCCATTATTTAGCAGGACAGACCTGCGGCTAACGCTAACTAGCTTACCTCCTGCTGATTTCAACACAGGTTTGAAATCTACATAAAAAAAGATTGTTTGAGCAGATGTGGTGTAATTTCGGGGGAGTCTCTGACACATCGGTTGTTGGAGGTCACATGGCGTCGGGCGCAGAGATCCACTTCTCGTACTCAGAGCCCCCGATGACTCGAGGAGACTCGAGCCTCCCGGTTTGTCAGCTCCGCTGAATATAAGAGCCGAGTGTCCGCCGGCCGCCACTACAGCTTCAGGCCCGGCGCGTTGGTCCTCAGGTTCACCATCTGCTTCTCCTGCCGCACTCGCTCCTCCTTGAAGGCCATCTTGTTGGCTTTCTTCTCCACTCGCCGCTCCTAGACGACGCGCAGCCAGGAGTCAAACCGTATTCGCTACACATCGTATTCTGCCGTTACCACTTTCTTATCGTGGAAAGGATGAATGGCGGTGAAACACTGAACCACAACACCGGCGTCATAACTTAATCCTTTCCCTGTCAATCACAACGCCCTAAAGCACCTCCCCATGCGTCGTCCTCACCTTGCGCTCCTCTTTGATGGCCTGCTTCCTGGCCTTCCTCTCCTCCGTGCTCTCCTCCTTGTCGCGGGGCAGCGTGGAGACGCGCTGCAGGTCCTGGTCGTTGATCAGCGCCATGCGCTCCGCCTGCTTGGCCGTGAGGCCTTTGGCCGGGAGGACGTCCAGGGGGATCCCCGTCTTCTGGGACACGCGGATCGGCTTCATTCGGGGACGGAGGGGAGGCGAGAGACGGGATTCAGAGTGTGTGTGTGGGTGTTCATCCGGAGCCTCACAAACGCTAATTCATTCATGCAAAGATACAGGGGAGTAACAGCTAAATGAAATGACTCTCTCTGGGCTAGCTGTTAGCGCTGTTAGCTCACGCCCAGCACTGATAGCTGCGAGCCGTCGGCTTTAGTTAAGCAGAAGATTTCTAGGTTCTGACGAGCAGCTGGACGGGTCCGGATGGTGAAGAGGACAGAAGAAAGCGCCGTCTTACCTTTGGTGGGTCTTGAATGATTTTGGGTCTGTTGTATATGTTGGAATATGTACCTGAGGGGAAAACCAGAAACATCCCGCAGTCAGAATGAGGAAGATCATTAACAGTCAAGTGTCCCACGTCTTAAAACGCAGCACACAGGAAACCGGTTCTGTGCTTATATTTACTGTCAGTGGTACTCGAGTTGATGCAGACCGACACATCTCACTCTACTCTGCAGCGTTTATGACTGTTAAGCTTTGTTAGGAGCCGCCGGTGAGTCACGGCCTCCAATGAGATCTTCCTCTTTACTGTGCTTTAAATGGCATGGATAGTATTTTTAGACAAGTCCATTCATGCTCAAACAGTCCATCTAATTAGACCCTGACAGGAAGCGTGACTTCCTGTGTGTGTGTGTGTGTGTGTTTGTGTGTGCGTCTCACTCGAGTCTATGAGAACGCACAGGTTTGATTGGCCGAGTTGCATCGTGTGACTGGCCGTGGGTTTCCAGTGCCGTAAAGAAGAGAAGATCATTCATAGACCTCTTGAAGTCGGGCCCCTTGTTAGTTGACAAATGGGCTGTTTTGGTTTTAGTCGACTAATATTTCTTAATAGGATTCGCCTGTTTTCACGTTATTAAAACGTGAATCTGTCGATGAATCACTGACTGATTGGAGAACTCAAACGTGTGAACGTTGCTCACATTTTAGTTCCACCTCTGTAGCTCGAGCATTTGTTTCATGAGTCAAAGAGGATTTAAACTCACTGATGATGGTTTCACAATCCCACTTCTCGTCCTGAGCCCAGACGACTATTCTCTCCATCTCTTCCTCTTTGTCCTCGTCGTCTTCATCGTCCTCCTCCTTCAGGACGGGGAGTTCTTTCGGACCCATTTCATCGAGCTTCAAGTGGCTAAACCGCAAAATAAGGCGAGAGTTGGTCGGCCGGCTTGAAAAGCTTTTTTTTTGTTGCTAAAAACACAACGTGGTGCAGCGTCGACGGCCACCAGGCGAACGCAGGCTCACTCTTTGTGCTTCTGGACGAAGTAGTCCTTGATGACCTCCTCCAGGCGCGCGCTGTCCGGCTGGATGGAGCCCTCCAGCTCGGCGTTGTCCAGGGCGCCGATCTCGTCGTCGTCGAACTGCTCGTAGAACTGAAGAGACGCATCGAGAGACTCGGTCAGCGGGGGGAGGAACCTGCTGCCGTTCCCACCGTCTTGCACTTCAAAACGGTAAATGACTGGCATGAAGACACCGAAGGGGCGCGGCGCTGACCTTCTCGAAGCGGTCGTCCAGCAGGGTGAGCTGCTCGTTCCTCCTCATCACGGACGACGTCATCGAGTACTCCGTGAAGCGGCTCTTCGTCTCCTCGTCCATGAACAGGAACTCTCGAGCGCGGCGCCCCAGGTCCTCGTCGCCCGAGAGCCCCCCCTCGGAGCCGAAGTCCCCTTCCTCGTCCGTGTCCTCCCACTCGTCGTCCTCGTCCTCGTCGCCGCAGTCACCTCTTGACACACAGACGCACGGCGGGCACTTTTTAAAAAAGGGCGAGTTTAAAATAATAAAACCAGGAGAAAGACGGCTTGACGTTGGGCTTCTTACTCGCCGGCTGCGCTCGCCGTGTTCGCTCGGGCGATGAAGTCGTCGTCGAGCAGGTTGTCGGGGTCGTCGAAGTCAAAGTCCTCGTCCAGAGCGGCCACGATGTCGGGGTCCATGTCCAGACGAGGTCCTGCGGGGAAACACAGGGGCGAGACCGTGAAGGCAGCTTTATTCAAACTGCACACGTCGGGGGGCAAACAAACAGCAGCAAACGTTTCATCGCCACACGGAGCCGAGGCACAGATCCAGATGTGAACGAGGGAGATCCAGAACAGCGATGAATCAAATCCAAAAATGTAATATACAATATGTACATTTACAATGATACGTTTGTTAACTAAACTATTTTTTACTTTTACTTTGAAAACCCAGACGTTTTTCTCTGTAGTTCCATTTTGAGGCGAGGACGTTTACCTGAGATGGGAGCGGCTTTGTTCAGGAGTCCCACCTTCTCTTCAAACTCCGAGGCGAACACGGAGGACGGCAGGTTGATGGAAGCGGCTTGAACGTCCTACAGGAAACATTTCAGAGGAAGCTTTCAACATTACGCAGAGATGGTTTTACTCAGTGACCTTTGGTGTGAATGAAAGATTGACCTCCAGGATCCAAGGTCAATACTTAAATTTCTATATTTAAGAGGTCTAATTCATGGTTGTTGAAACCCTTCTTGAAAACAAGGAGGACCAATGGAAAATAATTAAACATCAAAACCCGAAAGGACACTAAAATATAATTAAACGTTCCTCAAAATCTTTCCAGCTGTGGAAAAAGATGTTTCATTTTTCCACTAACTCAGAGTCGACTTACAAGAACGTCCCGGTCCTCCTCCTCGTCATCGTCGTCGTCGTCGCCACGGAGACGTAGCGTTGGCCTGTTGCCGTGCGCCGGTTCGTCCGCCACCAGCTCGGCCGTGGGTGCCGCCTCCTTCAGGTGCTGCAGGTAGTTGTAGTCGTCATCAAAGAAAACGCCAAACTCCCTCTGCTCCTCGCGCCTCTTGTCCGGTTCAACCTGGGAGACATCGAAGGATGAAAATACTGAATATAATCCAGAAAAAAAAAAACATTTCAAAAGGAACATTTATCTTAAAAACAACAACGGAGTGAATGGTTACCTTGTTGGCGTGCAGCAGGACGTGCTGGGGGGCTTTCTCATCTGCAGCCAGAGGGTCCCTCTGACTCCTGTGGACGAGGTGAAAGGTCACGGCCTTCTTCTTGTCGATGAACGACTTCTTCTTTCGGTGAGGCTGAAAGAGACAAACAAGACACCTGGTTGATCTGGCGCGTTAACTTCTTTCCCCTTGTTGGGATCCATCAGTGAGAAGCTCTTACTACACACAACACAAGACGGTTACCTCATCGGTCGGTTTGTAACGTTATACGTTTTAGATTTCAACATTATTGTAATGACTTTGTCTTCATCAAACATGGGCCGAATGAACAATACACGTGAGAAATAATAGAATAAACGAACAGCGAACCAACAACACAACGGACACTTAGCTAACGATGTATTCTTTTATCGGTACAGTGTTTTTTAAAGCACGTCGGCGACGTTAGCCGCTGTTAGCTATATGGGTTAGCGTAGGTTTAAAAACGTAATTTTACCATGTTGTGATAGAATCTGTCCCGCTGACCTCCAACTAATCGGGTTTAATGACACTGAAACCTCAAACAACAGGCGGCAGAAAACTGATATCCGTTTAAATCCAGAATGTCTAGTTGTTGTTGTTAATCCACGCTGGGTTCTCCTTCACCATGCTGCTTCGACCATTGCTGGAAAGAACCATTTCGGTGAAACCGCGGGGGGGTGTAAAGGATATAAATCTGATTAATGTGGAAAGCTCACGGGATTAGTTTACATTTTTCTTGTGATTCATAATTTATATTAAAGCTTGTGTTCGTATTAGTAATGTAATTCATGTAATTATACAATAGGTATTCCCTCACTGAGCATTGTTTATGATTGGTATAGTCCACATCGTTCTCTCTTCGTGTACCGTTGGTGGACAACCGGTTTATAGGCGCGTTACCGCCACCTGCTGGACAGGAGCGTATAGCGCAGCATTCGACTGTGGTCTTTTCATGGGATTTGTAGATGATAAAATAATATAGAATTTCACCACACTTATTCTCTTAAACCTGAACTTTTCCCAAAGCAGCCTGTGACTTGAGTGACTATTTAGCGGACGCATGCATTCATTCTCTTCCACGCCTATGCTTCGTGGGCAGAAACTCAAACGGTATTTCCCATCAAAACATCACACCGGTGTTATTCCATATCGAATCATCAGCGTCTGTGGAACGTTTCCTGTTGGTCCAGTTCGATCAACATTCTTACTTTCTCTCAAAGCGATACCTTCACCTACAATCTACAACTCGCACGTCTACATTCACGCTGATTGTTCTCATTTTTATGTTCCATATGTTTATTATCTGATTATTAAAACAACACCGCAAAACACAAACAGATTCCTGTTCTATGCTAATGCATGTTTAATTTGATCTACCTTTATTTGATTTGGTTACTGTGCTTATTATTAGCATTTTAGCATGTTAGTACTTTTGGTACATTAAATACATTTTGCTGTTTGTTGTTTTATGCAAAACTTTGAATGCAAGACTTTTAATAGAATATTTTTTTACTTACTATTAAATGATAAATCCAATATTACCGTGGAAACAATGTTTCCTAGATTGAATTAATAGAACCATCCATAAAACTTTAGAGAAGATTACTGAACTCTTCTTGGTTAAAAAGTAAATCACATGTAATTAACTTTTTCTCCCATCCTGTGAGGCTTAATGTATCAGACTCACTGACTATTGAGGTGTTTTAGTTATAAATATATATATCTATAGTCTCAATAACTTCACTCCAAATCAGATGTTTTGTTCAAAGTTTATTTCCATTCACGCAGAAAGCAGAGAAAAAAAATGTTTTGTCCAAAAGCACCAGTTAGCAAATTTTTAACAATGGATCCCAACGTTCCAACTCTGCAGCGCAGAAAGCATCTCACATTATTAAACCAAAAAACAGAGTCTGAAGATTGATCAGGCTTCTTCTCTTCTCCTGTCGGCCTTCAGACGTTCATCGACAGCATCAGGAACTGTGAGAACAAACAAATAAAGTCCCAGGATCAACATCTCCGTTCAGTTGAGTGTTAAGAGAGAGGAACTGGGTGGAGCCGAGACTTCAGGTGAGAGAGGTGACCGGGATCACGCGGTGATGTCACATGGAGCTGTTTTTACCTGCATGATGTTCATGTTCACTCGCCCTCGTTGGGATGTGTCCAGAACCTGGAAGGCTCCTGGTGAAGAGGAAGAGTTTCAGCTCAAAGTGGCAAATAACTCCCGTCATATGATTGATATATCTCTAGATGTACACTATCTATTATTATGTATTCTATACTTATTTTGCTTTGGAAATATATAAAGGATTATTTTGCCTTATCTAATTTTATTTACTTTTATTTTTTATTATGTAGTAAATATGCTCATTTGATTTGAATTGCTTGAATTTATTTAAATATTAGTTAATTTTTTGTATCCGTTTTCTGTTGTTGTATTTTTATTTCAACCTTCTTGTTCTCATAAATTATCTGAACATGTAAATCACTTTTAAATTGCTCAACTTTTATTCAAAAAGTGTTTTATTATCATCCTGTTTTATTATTCACTATTAATCTCTAGTTATTCTTCTCTAGTTTTTTTTATATTTTAATCTCGCCCCCGGAAGTATCAGTAAAGGTTTATCTCACATTAAACAATTCATCAAATTATCGCATAAACGTGCGTCTGAGTCTTGACTCATCACCGGTAACCAACGGTTACCGCATCCCTCCGAGGCGGTGGTTGTCGGGGTTACTACAGTCATGGTGCAGCTGAAAGATCTGATCCCAACGTACTGAACATGTTCTCCAGGCGGACGATGCAGGTGAGGTAGTCGTCGAAGTCGATGTCGTATTTGTCGTCAGCGAACCTCAAGCCGATGAGCTGCAGCAGCCGGTTGTTCAGCTGCATTCCTTCACGGGAGGGATTTACACACCAACGCAGGATCATTCAAAGCCCAACGGTTTGATTCATTCTTACATATACAGATGTCAAGCGTGTGTTTCTAGCAGAATTCCACTCGTCGCCATTCGGTCGACTCTCACCTGCAGCTTTGAGAGCGCTGCGGAGCTCGTAGGACGACATCTTCCCCGAGCGGTCGGTGTCAAAGGCCAAGAAGAGCATCTGGAGGCACAGAAATCACCGGCTGATTCATGGCAAAAAATAAGAGAACTGACGACAATTATTGCAATAAGTATAATTATGAGGTGCTTTTATTTTATAGTTCTACTTCCACACAACACAGATTATTAATACAAAATATAAAAAAAACATTTTTGTTTGTTGAATGAATTACTTTTTATCGGTGACAGTTGTACTTGTACTTTGGTAAATTCTAGCACTTCTTCCACCTGATTCCCACTTTTAAATGATGAATGAAAACGTACGATCCACTTCTTCATCTTTTCCCAGAAGACCTTGAACTCCTGGAACTCCAGCTGCCCCGTGTTGTCCACCTGGTGCTCTGTCAAGGACAAAAACGTTCCAAAAGCATCCGGCTCTCCTCTCTGTTAAAACCAACTCCTCTGATCACTAGTCTGCGCTTTGTCCCGGTGCATGTTTGCTTATGTAGCCGGAGATCAGAGTCACTGAGTGACGTGGGAGGATACATCCATCAGGTTGATGATGCTGTGGCAGGTGCTCAGACTCAGGCCGTCGAATTTGATCTCTTTTCCTGAAAGAGAAACAGATTTGGAACAGTTTTTAACTGCCACCAACGCCGTAAAACATGGAAACAAATGTACAGAAACTTGTTGTACAAGATTAAAGTTAACAGTTAAATCAAAGGTGCCAAATACACTATTTTGCCATTAAATCATTTCTGCATGTATAATTCTGTTTGGTTTAAGAGTAAAACAAGCTTCTTCTGTGCTTTTTTTTATTCAATGGCACAAAGGTTTGAGGCTTTTTCATCTCGTGGCATCTTGAAATGGATCAACATCTATTCATCAAGGCCTACAATTAGCGAAAAAGCCACCAATAAATGCAGGAAACTGAAGGGACGAACAGTGAACCCGAGACTCACGTCTGCTGAGGACGCCGTTGAGCATCTGCTGCAGCTCTCTGACAGAGATGGCCTGGTCCTGGAGACACAGCGGGGGTTCAAGTCAACTTAGTTCATACAAAACCACAGTGTCGGTCGGCACAGTGCCGCTATACCAACAATAGCATTGTTGCACAATGTTAAATCTGCATTATTTAAACGTATGTCCACTAGATGAATGCAAGTTCAATACTTTCTCCCTTTTAGCTCCGTTTTTGGGCTCCACCTCCTTTTTTGGGCGGGAATTATCTTTCTAATCTCGATAATTTTGCATACTGAGACGCGAGAATCATTTGGATTTCTCTGAGGTCTGCTGCACCAAAGTAAAAAGAAAGTGCCGTCGTTATAGACAGACAGCTTAAGTAAATGTTGCGTGAATAGAAGCGAACATTAAATGCAGTAAAAAGCTGAAGGAGCGCAGCTGAGAAAACGGTTCGTAAAAAAAGCGTGAAAACAACTCGGACTGGACGACGCCTTTCTTCTTTCATTGGTCTATTTTTAGACCAATAAAAGAGGAAGCTGGACTCAAAAAACACCGGCGCTGACCACAACGTCCATTTACTCCTCCGCCATTCCCATCGACATCATGCACGCAGACAGATGTTTCCTTACGTCTCCGGCCAGCTGTTCGAACAGCCTCCTCAGGCCTTTCTCCTCGTCGGACTCGTCCTCTGGGGCAGAGGGGGGGGGCGGCTGGCGGGAACAACAACACAGCAGCGTCAGTACCAGCCGGCGGGGGGTGGGGGGTTGGTGTCATTGATCGTGTGAGCTACTCACATCTGGGAGGTCAGCGTCAACGTTGCTCCCCATCTCGCTGTGGAGCACAAACGCGCGTTGAGATGTTGCGCTTTGCCGTACATTTCCGTCTTCTAAAAATTGAATTAAACCGTTGCGAATGTGGTGCCACGCGAGTCCTCGGGGGTCACTCACAGAGCTTCGGCCTTCTTCTCCGAGAAGACCCTGACGATGAAGTCGGCCTCGTGGTGCGGCTGGAAGGTGGTGGGGACCAGCAGGTAGCTGCCGGGAGGCAGCGTGAAGCGCTCCGATATCTCCCGCACGTTGATGTAGGTCCTGCTGCGAGCTTTGGACGCGTTGTAGCGGAAGAAGTCTTTCCCCAGTTGGTCCTCGTCCTCCGGAGCCTGAACGGAGAGACGAGAAGTTTAATTCAGCTCGTTCCAACGTGAGATGGTCGACTGGTAAAACAATGGGCCCTTAAGGTCCATTTAGTTGCTGTCCTGGAGCTTTCTGTCAGATCAACTGATCTTCTGCAGCAGATGGACATCACTCCAGAGTGAACTTCCAACACACTCAAATCGTAAGAGGTTCATCTTAAATGTAGAAGCTTTCTGAGCAAAACCAAATTTTAGTTGTAATGGTAATTTACTTTAAACCACAGCAGGAAACGCCTGAACGCATCTTCATTAAAGTAAGGAGTCTCTCGCTCTGACCTCGTACACGGCGAAGCCGATGGTCTCCATGTCCATGCCCTCCTTCCTCAGCTTCCTCCTGTTCTTCTGCATCAGCGCGATCACCACGCTGCACACGTCGTCGTCGTCGGCGTCCTCCAGCTTCAGCTTGAACTGCGGGTTGGTCCAGAAGGTGTCTGCGCGTTGGAGACCCACAGATGTGAACGGCGGGTTTTTTTGACGACAAAAAGGGCGCACGGAACATTCCGTCAGGGTTCCTTTCTCACCGATGAAGTTCCTGCAGCCTCCGGCGGTGGAGCCGCGGATCCAGTTCCCCTCGAACATGCTGACCGCCCACTGGCGCTTGGAGTCGTCGGTCAGGTCGTCGGGGGTCATGTTGCAGATCTCCACCTTGTCGTAGTTCTTCTTGAAGTCGCTGAACTCCATCCTGGTGTAACGAGGCGTAATGAGGTAAAGACGGCGGGATGACGGAGGTTTGGGAGTCTGGATGGAGTCGCCGCTACTTCACATTTAGTCTGAACTCTGAAACTCTCTTTCAGAGAGGCAGGTAAAAAGGGCTCAAGTCACGACGTGGACTCACCAGAATTCCCCGTCGTCTGAAAGCTGCAGGAGGCGATTTTTATCACCGCTGTCAACGTAATTCCACTCTCTGGATCTGAAACGGACCCGAGACGAAAATCAATCCGTCGCAATCTCAGCGACAAGAACTGACGCAAAACACCCGACTGAGTTTTGAAGGCAAAGACTTCAGTTTGAGCGGGAAAGGTCGTTTGATGGGGCGATGGAGACAAACAGAAATATGTTTTGTTGTGCTTCATGCTCACCCGTCACTCCAGGGCCCGTTCCACTCCACCTGACCCCACGGGTTCCTCACCCGGATCAGCTGGACCGTCTTACCTCGGAAGTTCACCTGAAATGTCGAGAGGTGGAACTAAATCAAAGCTGAACGACAAACCAGACGCGAGTTTCTTGCGCGTTCTCAGCTGTGGGTTCAGCGGCGCGTGAAGCGCAGTTTCACCTCCTCCAGGCTCGTGATGGAGTACGCGTGACCCTTCACCAGGCCCGTGGTGGTCTTGGCCTCGGACTCGGCAGAGCTGGTGATCTGGAGGAAAACAAGACGGCGCCCAGAGACGGGTTTGAACCGGAGGAACTTTAGGTACTAAACCTCCGTTCAGGTACGAAAGGTGGTAAAGTAAAAAAAACAATCCTCACGTCGATGGAGCATCCCATCATGGAGCCTCTGTCCAGCGCCTTCTTCATGATGGAGAACAGGTTGTCCGGGCAGTTCTTGGTCTCGTAATTTTCCCCGACCCCGCCGGTGAAATCCTCCATGGCCTCCATGGTGCTGCCGCCCTTCAGGGACTCGTAGCTGCCGTGCAGTCTGAAAGAAACGGGAAAAGCGGCGTCAGAGGCCAGACTCAGGCTTTGAGTGTTCCCGCCTCCCGGGAGAGGAACCGTAGAGGGTTTCTGGTGACCCGGTTGCAGCGCTCAGTCCACGGACATCCCCACTCACTTGGCGTAGGCCTTCTCCAGCAGGGCGCTCCAGAACTCGTCGTTGGAGGCGGAGTGCAGCATGATGAGCTTGTTTCGGACCACCGGCAGCCGGTCGTCCACCACCACGTCCAGCCACCGGTTGTGACTCCAGAACTGAGGGACAGACGGAGGCCGTGAGCGACTCAACACCTCGCCGTTCGCCCTCTCCATTCAACCCTCCGCTACTCTCGCAAGAGCAGCGAGGTGAGAGTAGTCACGTTTAAATTACGGCAAAATGATGTAAAGCGATTCAGAGATCCCTTTAAGCCGCAATATCTCTGAACCAACAATAAAATGATACTTTTAGGGAGAGAATTCCGGCCTTTGTGAATAAAAACGATCAGGTAAGTGAAGTTATTTGTTGGTATTTCACATTTATTAATCATCATCTCAACACGCTACAATCTCCGTAAATTTACATGAATACTAATTTGGGGATCATGGTTGTTTGGGAGGAGTGTGGGAAATGCACAGGTTTTAGAACATTAAACCCTTGCATTGGATAATCAAACTAAAGGAGTTTTGAACATCAAATGTACGAAATGACCTCGTAGGTTCTTCATCCGATGAGCCGCTCACCTGGAAGTGGAAGATGCCGGCGTATCTGCGGTCGAAGTCCTGGTCGGGGGGGACGACCCGGGCCAGGGCTTCTTTTTTGAGGGTCAAGGACGCGATGGCCGCCAGTAGCCAGCAGTCACCTGTGGTGACGAAACAGGTGCATCATGGGTAAGAGAGTGAAACACGCGCGCAATCCACTGGGGCTCGGCGGAGGGGGGGGGGGACCAACCGAGCTGTCCTTGGCAGATGTCCGTCCTGTCTGCGCCGCCCACGATGAACTTTGGGTCTTTGCAGATCTCCTGTGGAGAAACCCGGAAAGGAACAGGTGGGTTTATTTAAGAAAAGGGTCAAGTGCCTCCCCAAGGGCGTGCTCGCATTCCACGCACGTCAACCAACACACGGGCGCTTCCCGAGCGACGCCCGAGAGAGAAATGTGGAGTCGTCACAAACACGACGCGTGGGTTCGACAGGTGAAACCGCTGCGCGCACACAATGGGGACAAGCGAGACGGGACAGCCGTCTCAGTTTTTATCTGATCGGCCCAAAACCAGGCGTGAGGCGCCGGCGTTTCGCAGGTAGCGAAGGCGGCGGCGGCGGCGCGTGGGGATGGAGTCTGCGCTCGGCTCTTATTTGCACAGTTTGCTCGCAGAACCGGTTTCGCAGCTCCGACGGGATCGAAACTTCGAATGAACTCACGCCGTTTTCATCCGAGGCGTTAAATAATTGCTCCACGCGGCACAACGCTCGTTCGCCCAACCGCAACCCAGCCAGTCTGTCCTGTTAGAATCTTCAATATGACGACAAACAAAGACCAGTAAAGCACGTCTCAACCAGTAGAACGTTAAACCAGAGGATCACTGGGAAACACAACTTTTCACTCATTTCAGAAGCTTGGATCGCAGAGAACTGAACCCATTTGGACACTTTTCTAGTCCTTCGTTCATTCCTCTACAGAAAGACCCCCCCCCACCTCGTACCTTGGGCCTCTTCCATTCGATGTTGACCGGGACGCTCTCGCTGAAGTACAGCGAGGAGTCGGCGGCGGGGAAGTCCTGGTCCTCGAACAGAACCCCCTTCTGCAGGCACTCGTGCCTCAGCTCCTCGAAGGACTTGCCGTCCGACTGCGTGTCCTCGGCCCGCTCGGGGCCGGCGCCGGAGCCCCGGCCCGACAGGGTGGACTGGAGGGGCATCGTCTGCTGGAGGGGAGAGACGCTCAGTGAGAGACGCCGGGTGCTGTGTGATGGAGGGAGCGTGAGTGAGTGAGTGAGTGATGCAGGAACCAGCCAGTCGGGTCGGTACGTGTGGGGCGCACGCCCTCCTGACGGGAACCGGTTTGTCCTCCTGTGGCAGTGACCTCGCCCAGCTGACTCTCTCCCTCTCTCGCTCGCTCTCTCTCTCCAAGAAGTCATTCCTGGTGGCTGAGTAGATGAATTATTAAATGTCTTAATGTGTTCTGACTCCAATCTGCGTCTCTGAACGGGAACTTTTGGTGCACAGAAGCGTTGTTGGTACTTTTTGGACCTTTAATGGATCCACACATCTGTATTATAATAAAGTGTATTTATACAACCATCTGTACTGTAAACCTCTGACCCATTATCCAGCCTGTAGTATATATGTGTATTTACTGCATAACTCACCTGAGTTCATTCATTCATGCTATGAATTATGTTTAGAGCCATCAGGACACACTTTGGTTTCCCACATTGAGAAAATAAAAATGCATTTTCTGCTTATTCCTCCTGCGAGGGAACGAGATGCCACCCGATGACAATGTCATCCTTTCGTTTATCATTTCAGGACTTGTATTTATTGGCACTTGACAAAATAAGTTGATCGCATCTTCATTCTCGGGTCAAATGTTGTGTCTTTACGAGATATTTGGAAAGAGACAAAGACACACAAAACGACCACAAAGACACACAAAATCCCTTAAATGAGAAGCCAGTGAACCTCAAAGACCCACAAACCAAAACTCCAGGACGCACACAGAGACTCTGAGCGTCCTCCGTCTCCCTCCTCCTCCGTCAGTGGGCGGTGCAGTCGGGTGTGCCTCCGTCGCCTCTGCTGCACCTTGACCCGCCCACCGGACATTCCTGCTGCACCGTCACCGGATTCTCCACATTGCTCCAGCCGAGTGTGTGTACACACACAGACACACCCACCCCACACACACACACACACACACAGCTGTGTAGTGAGATCAGGACTCGTGAAGGTTTCTTCTGTTTAATTAATTCAAAACATCCACAGACACAAGTGGAGATGAAATAGAAGTCCTCCACCTGGTGGTGCAACCCGAAGGGGGCAGTAGACAGCAGGGGGGGGGGGGGGGGGATAGTATCACTACGTACAGTATCAGAATAATGCTATTAGAGAATAACTATTAATGTATTTATGGTTTCTTTAAGGAATACTTTTACCGTTACTACTTCGGGTACATTTCTGCTGATGGAGGACTTTTAGCTGAAGCGCAGTATTGAGGCTCCAACATGCTACGTCACACGGGCAGGTGTTTCTGTTTTTTAGTCCCCCCCCCTTTAACACCAATGAGGCCCAAATAACAGCAGAACTCCTCGTTGTACCGTGTTAACTCCAGGATGAGTCGGTTCCTAGCATCACCGTGGCAACCAGCTAGCATCCGGTCTGGTCGTCCGGTTTCACCACGTTTTACACACAAAGCTGGACGAGAGAAGCGTTAGTTTAAATAAATTCTGTTATTTATTCCTTGTTTTGAGCTACAGGAGGCAACAAAAGGTCACTGACAAACAAAGGACAACTTTCCCCGCTGGATTTATGACGGAAATATGAAAAACAACTATATAAAACCAAAATACAATCACACTCTGGATGTATGAAATCAGTTTCTAGGTCAGTATTTTTTAGCCCTCGTTAAACTTAACCTGAATATCAACTCTTGGTAGCCAAAATATTACAAAAATACAGTATATGTACACAAACATTGCACAGTTCATGCAACTCGCAGAAAAGTGCTGAAAAAAAAAAAATACAGCCTTTGATTCTTAGAAATCTCCACAATAAGGCTATTCACACTCTTCAGTCGACTTTTGTTTTCCACCTTTTGAGACATCTTTAAAATCGGTGCCTGAACTCCACCGGCGTCCAAGTCCCTTCACTCCCGAAGGGTTTCCTGACATGAACTTGACCGACAACGGAGTATTTGTGCTGGATGGAAGCCGCCGTGTGATCGGGGACCGAGGGGGAACACGAGATCTTTTAAAAAAAAAAAAGAAAAAAAAGGAGCAATCCGGCATTTTGAGCCTCCGCGTCGTCTCGCCGAGTCAGAACCGGTTATCAGACGAGAGGAGCCGACGTGAAACCAGAATAACCACATTCTGCCCCGGTCGTCCTTCAAAATAGACATTTGTACCTTCGGTAAGAACTGAAAATGAAGCCCGAACAAACAAACTAATGCTGCTCTTCTTTTTAAACCAAACACCATTTTCCAAATACGCTCTTTGTACTTTTTGCCAACAAATGATTCAAAACTGCCAAGTTCAAAAAGCCAGCATTTATTTTCTGGTCAGATTTCTGATTTATTTGAAGGTTGTTGTGCATCGGCCCCCCGATTTCTACCTCAGTAAATAAAGATCTGTGTGGGTACTTTGGTTCTGAAACTCAGGTATTATATCAGCCCTGAAGGCAGGTGGTGTGTATATGTGTAATATATATATATATATATATATATATTTATATTACACACACACACACACACACACACACACCAGGTAACACTCATCAGCTCAACAAAACCATCAACTGTCTGTTGCGTTCTTCTTATCAGCTCAGGAAATAAACTTTTTCCGTCTCCTATTTGGGTAAAACTGATCTTTGCAGATTCAAACGTTGTTTTGTTTTTGCTCACCAGGAAGACTATTTGCAAAAGGGCCACATGCTGCTGTAGACGACAGAACCTGTGCACAGCAGCGTAAGCGGTTTGGGACGTCCGAGGCACCGGAAGCACAGCGTCACACCGAGGAAACACTTAATACTGACGCTTTGGTAATCGGACAACACCAGCGAGGACGGACGAGGACTCGTAGAAAGCGAATATCTGAGACTCTCCGAGGAGGAAAACGAAGCTCCGCGCTGCCGGTGGCCTTTGACCTCTCGGCGCGCGGCGGGAGAAAAACAAAGAACGTGGAACCGACTCCCGCGGCGGCGGCTACGGCTCGGCTTTCTCCTGCGCCGTCCCCGTCACCAGCAGCAGGTTGCACGCCATGAACTGCACGTTCAGCACGCTGCTGCTGTTCCCCGTGTACAGACCCACCAGCTCGCCGGACGAGCCGTCGGCCGGCGCCGCCCCGTGGGAGTTCCGGATGTCCCACACCCGGACCGAGTTGTCTATGGAGGACGACGCCACCAGGCTGCTGTCCGGGCTGAAGGACAGGCTGGTGACGCTGTCCGTGTGTCCCCGCAGGTCTTTGGACAACGTGCCCGACGCCAAGTCCCACAGCTTCACCCTCTGGTCCTCGCCGGCGGACGCCAGGTACTTCCCGTTGGGCGAGAAGGCCAGCGACAGGACGGGCCCGCGGTGGCCGGTGAAGAGGCGGACCGACGCCCCCTGCTGGGTGCTCCACAGCCGGACCGTCTTGTCCGTGGAGCCGGTCGCCAGGTAGCTGGAGTTGGGGTGGAACTTGACGCAGTCGACGTCGGCGAGGTGCCCGGCGTAGAGGCGCAGCGGGTAGGTGCGGGAGAACGTCCAGAGGCGGGCCGTCCGGTCGTGGGAGCCGCTGGCGAAGTAGAGGCTGCAGGGGCTGACGTCCACGTCCCACACCGGGTAGGCGTGTCCCCGGTAGAGCGCCGTGTTGGTGAAGCTGCCCAGGTCCCAGTAGCGGATGGTGGTGTCCTCGGAGCAGGACAGCAGGCCGGAGCTGTCCGTCAGGAAGGCCGTGCGGAACACCGGGCCGCTGTGACCTCGCAGCGTCTTTATCTCGCTGCCGGAGCTGCCGTGCTCCTCCTCATCGGCCTGAGCAGAAACACAAGATGGGACGTCTACCAAGTGTGATGGATGGGACAGAACCTCCAGTGACGGTAATCCCGTCTGTTTGTTGTTGGGCGGCATCGGAAAAATGCTTCTTATGCATAATGTGAGTTGTCTTAGTTTCTCTGTGACCTCCTACATTTACGATCCCTTCTAGTTATCACAACAGGAAACGCTTCCTAAATATAAGAATGAATAATAATTTATTAATCTTTGGGTTTTGATTCAATATCAAGCAAAAAACTGCCATGAGAAAAATTCCTCTGGAAACTGAATATGATTTTAATTGTACAGCTCCTAAAACGTTGTGAAAATAAAAGAGCAATAGACTCAAAAGCTCTAATAAGTTACGCATAACAGAAAGGAAACTTTCTTTTCCTGACTACGATAACCACGTCTGAGCCCCCTCACCTCCTCCTCCAGCACGTCGCAGGCCAGGTGGATGAGCGACACGTCCGCCCGGTGCGCTCGGGCCTTCAGCTTCCGGGCCCGGAGGCTCCACAGCTTCACCGTGGAGCTGTCGAAGCCGGCGGCCAGCAGCCGGCTGTCGGCCGAGACCTCGGCGGCGTTCAGCGTCTGCTCCGTGTGGTGGAAGGCGTAGAAGCACACGGTGGTGAGCGTGGGGGGCCCCTCGCGCACCTTCTTGATGCAGTCCTGCAGAGCCTCCAGGGCCGCCTCGCTCTGCGGCGCCCCCGCGGGGACCTCCACCCCCTCGCCGCCCTCCGCCCCGTCCGCCCCCGGCCAGGAGGAGGCGGAGTTGGCGGCGCCGGCGGCTCCGTACAGCTGGTAGTCCGTGCGCCGGGAGGCGGTCACCTCCACCTGCAGGTGCGTGCTCAGGGCCCGGCAGAGGCCGCTGTTGTCCTCGCTCTGCAGGTAACGCAGCAGGTAGCTGTAGGCCGGCTCCGTCAGGTGAACCACGTACTTGTGCACCAGGAACGCGCTCAACTTGGGGTTGGCGGCGACGTCCTGCGCGGTGAGGACGTGGCGGAGCTGCTCTATGGTGGCGCGCTGCTCGCCGTCCTGGAGAAAGGCGCCGTGGAAACGACTGTAGAAACCATCCACCGCCCCCTTCAGGCCGCAGTGCACCAGGTCCAGGTGGAGGTAGACGAAGAGCGGGTAGAGAATGCAGCTCACCTCCTTCGCCCAGGACATGTCCGTCTCTGATTGATGGGAAATAAAAGGCAGCGTGAGGGTGGAATCCGAACAGGACTTGCTCTGGTCGGAGGACACGTTCCAAAACAGCCTCGAGCCGACATGTGAGCGGGGTTAGTGGGAGGTGCAGCAGGGACGGGAACCGTGGGGATACCTGACAGGAAGGAGCGCAGCCGCGAGTACTGAGTCTCGTACTGCTGAGGGTCCGACTGGCACGGAGCAGCAGACACGATGTTGGCACATCCCGACTCCGTCTGCACTGCTCGCATGGAGAGGATCCGCACAAGGCCCGGCCCATCAGACACAATGATTCAGATTTTAATTTAGAACAATGGATGAAATCAAGTGTCCCCCTAAGTGCTTAACAAACGCACACGTGACAAACGTCATCCTCGCCCGGCTCACCTGTGAGACTCGCAGCCATCTCCTCCGCCGACTGGAAGAGCTTTGCTCCCTTCAGGGAGCCATCGGTGTCCACGTACTGCCTCCGCTTCAGGTACTGAGCGACGGCATACTGGATCTGCTCAGTGCGAACCCGCTTCATGACCTGGATTTCAAAGCAAAAAAAAAAAAGTGTCACACACCTGAGCCGCTGCATAGAGGAGACACCTGCACATCACACCGCACTGGTCGGTTGGTCGTCAGGCGGCTTTTCTGGCCGGCCAAGGCCCGCGCGAAACCGCGGTGCACGTCAGTCATCCTGCTTCGGATCCGACCCATCATCTCCATGGCAATATTAACCCCCCTGAGCATCTCCCCGGCAACTTAGCAAACCAGCTAGCAAAGGGGGTGAGCTAATGGGTGTTTGCCGAGGCAGCATACATTAAATACGCCCTTTCTGACAATTGGAACATACGTGGTAGCACGAAACAAACGTGGAAGCACGAAACAACGCTTTGGCGTGCACGTGCCCGTTTAAAGGCGGGCCGGTGTGCCCGTCAGAGGAGGATACCTGAGCTGAGCTAACCGGCTAGCTTAGCGCCACTGGCAGCGGGCCTGGCGGCTACCAAACTTTTAGCGGGATCGATCCGGTTCCGCAGCCCCGCCGGTGGCACGTCGGTATTCACTCACTGCATATCGTGCTGGTCCTTCGGTGTGCTCCGTTGCTGTGCGCCGGCTGGTGGGGGTTTAATGGTGACTGAGTTCCTAGCTGAAACTACGTTGCCGCTCCATCGTGGTCTTCCGCCCCCCCCGGTCAGCCTCCATCAAACCATGTTAGCTACGAGTTAGCTAGCTAGCTTTCATCTCGGACGGCTAACAGCTATCGGCGATCCACTTGTCGTCCTGGTTTGCCGTTGGCATCGCAAGGTAAACGTAGCGACGATCTACTAGCGATGTCTGGATCGTACGCGGCTCAAAGTGAACCACGCTCACCAAACTTCTTTGAATAATTAAGGAAAATAAGCGGCAGTGGAGGTAATTCCCCAACTGGCTCGCAATTCTCGCAGTCGTTCAGCTGACGATGTATAAAGTAAAAGTCAGAACACAAATCAGAAACACGTGGTGATAGTAAGTAGTTGTGAGTATGAGAAGTAAAATTACCATACAAAACAGCCTGTTTTTGAATACCACATATTTTAATATTACATTTTAATAACTGATCTATTCAGGCGTAAATTATATACACAGTCTAAATGTTATACACAGCATGTTGAAGGTGGTAAGGACTTTTTAACTTTCTAATACACTGCTTTGTTATCAATAGTATCAGGATCAGGAATCAGGAAACATTTATTAGCCAAAATATGTCAAACATACAAGGAATTTGTCTTAATGACAGTAGACAGACAAGACAACAGTGCACAAGTAATAAAATAAAGTGGAATGAAATGCTAATGCAATGGGTTAGTAGAATAAGGCTATGGGTTAGTGTAAAACAAGGGAATAAAGTTTAAAAAATTTAAATATTAAAAAGTTAAAAAGAAAATATTAAGCATAAAGTGCACTAACGAACAAGTAACAGACAAGAGACAAAGTGACAAGTCACGACAAAGTGATGAATTGCAGTTAAAGTGGCAACAAACGTTTAATACCATTTTTTGGCTACATTTTCTATTACTAATCTGAAAAAGTAACTAAAGCTGTCAGACAAATGTGGCAGAATAAAAACTAAAACGTTGACCGATTTTTAGATACTTTAAATACATCATATTCAAAATATATTAAAAAAATGTTATTGCAATGGATTAATAATAACATGAGGTATTTAGATCCAGTTGTGTGGTTTTTGTCTTCAGTTTCCTTTAAAAAAAAAGAAGAAAAAAAAAAGCTTTTTCCGATGGGCGGGACTTACCGCTGACACAGTGATGACGCACAATTCGAGCGACTGCACCGCGCGTTGTTTGGAAAAAGCTGCTACACAGAGAGTGCTAGCGGTGTCAATACTGTTTTTTTCACAGTTACACGTGAACACATTTCTCTGCTGTTGAGCCGCACGAGGTACCGCAGCAGGCATGTTTACCCCCCGCTCCACCCCGAGCTCCGGCCGCCGGCAGCAGGGCAGGAACACCGGGAGGAAGAGCGCCTCCGGTGCGGCCGCCGCTCTGCTGTTCTCCCCGCGCAGGACGCCGCTGTCCGCCAGGTGAGTGAAGACACCAAAACTAACTGTTCAGCTGCCGTTTTTAGCCTCACCTTGCCGGATCTAAAGGAGTCAAATAGAATATTCCGGTTGAAAACCCCTCGTTGAGGGTAAAACGTATATTTTAGCATTTATTGTACTAAACGTCACTTTTTGGTGCTCTTGAGGGTCTCACTTTTCTGTTGCTGTTTCACCCGTTTATATTAATGGGTGTTAATATTGAACCCGTATATTAACATGGTGTATTACAACTCAACAGCACCAAAGCTCAGCAGATGTTCCTGAACTGTAATTCTCTCTCCGTTAGGTCAACACCTTCCAGGCCGCAGACCCATTCGGCTGCAGATTCCATCAACTACGACGTGCAGCCCTTCGGCTCGTCGCTGCCCGTCAAAGTGATGGAGGCCCTGACGATGGCGGACGGTACAGAACGCCTGCGGCTTATCGGGGAAATTAAGTCCATCTCTTCTGGCACAGTTTTTTTTTTTCTTCTCCTCCCACTGATCAATTCCGTGTGTTTGGTTCGGTCCCTCTAGTCGACGACCAGATCTCCGTGAAGGTGAACGAGAGCGGCTGGGCCTGGATGGTGTGCGGAGAGCGACTGATCATCTGGAAGATCTCCCAGACCGCCGTGGCCAAGGTGCGGGTCAACATCCTCAAACTCAACCTCTTTCCCCCCGATTCTCTTCGTTCTATTTGGCTGTTATTTGCCCCACGCAACAGTTCTCCTCCTGGTTGGAACGAATGAGCAGTTTGAAGACGTCACCGTTAGTTGCCACCTTTTAGAGGAAACGCTCACCGCTTCGTGACTACAGTGTTTTTCTCCCGCAGCTGTCTGTGTGTAAGGAGCTGCAGCTGCCCGGCAGCGAGTACAGCTACACCGCCGACCTCGTGGCCTTGGCCTCCGCCGCCCCTCTGGAGTCGGCCCCCGTTCAGTCCATCTCCGTCCTGGCGGTGGCGGCGGAGGGAACCGCTCGCTTGTGGAGCAGCTTGGCCCAGGAGGGCAACTACACGGAGACGGACGTGGACCTGGGGGACCTCTGCAACTTCGTCGTCGCGGTCAATGTGAGTGAATCAGAATTCATTTCAGTTTGTGGGTCTGTGGCTGCAGCTTCTAACGTGGAACCCCCTCACCCCCCACACCCCCTCTCTCCCTCCCTCCCCTGTCAGGGCGGAAGCTTCGTCCTGTCCTCCGTGAAGAGTCGGCTGTTGAGAGCGAGCGCCGACTCCTCGGGGAAGCTGCAGTGGCGGGCGCTGCAGCAGGGTCAGGGCGTCCTCTCCGGCATCGGACGCCGCGTCTCCAGCTTGTTCGGGATGCTCTCCCCGCCGGCCAACGACACGGTGAGTGGTTGTAAAAGGATCCCCGTGGCGTAACCCAGTAAACAATCCTGGAGCGATTAGACTGAAGTTAGAAATCACACAACCTGCTACAGAGGCTCTAAATTCTCCTTACGTCTAGTTTAAAGACTTTGATCACGTGTTTCAGCAGACAGGACTCTGCAAAGTTATTAAACTGATTGAAAATTAAAATATCTAACAATCCCTTAGTAACCAGATTAAAAGGATATTTGGTGAAATTCCCATGACATCAAGACTGCAATCAAGTCAAATGCTCCGACAGGAAAAAACCAACAGTGGATGCAGACAGTAATAAGCCACTAAATCATTTGACTGAATGTTTCGTGTGTAGCGATCTTAACTTTGTAGACTCAACTGTCCGATGAATGTAGAATATCTCCCTAGAGAAGTACAACGTGGCATGAAAGGTCTGTCTGCTGCAGCTCCACAGCGTGCTGTGGGTGGGCGGAGCCAGCTGCCTCTACACGCTGACCAGCTCCAGTCTGAGCAAGTGGGAGGTGGACGACAGCTGGGAGCACCAGATCCTCACCTGGGACGCCCAGCGGGCGCTGAGCGAGAGCGTCGCCGACGCCATCTGGGTCAGTATGAGAGGATAGTAAATATGCGAACAGGTGTATTTAGGTAAAAATACGAATACCACACGGGGACAATACTTTGTGACGAGTAAAAAGTTCTGCGTTCAAATTGTACGTAATCAAGAAAATGCACTCAAAGTATTAAAGGAAGTAATACTCGATGCCTTGTTGGTTAATATATTACTAGAATTGATTTTATTGAATTAATGGTTTATTTTTTGGAGAATTTTTTTATTATGGATTAATCTGCTGTCCGTGTTCATGTCTTATCACCAGGGGTCAGAGAGCAACTACGAGGAGCTGAAGGAGGGAGCGAATGTGACGTACCTGGACATGAAGCTCAGCCAGTGAGTGTGTGTGTGTGTGTGTGTGTGTGTGTGTGTGTGTGTGCGCGCGTGTGCACACACAACTTCCTGCTTGCTTTACACTTCAGAATATAAGGTTTTAATTTGTTTTTGCTGTATTTAAAGTTTGAGGAATTTTTCTCAATTTAAAAATCTAACTTCTGAACAACTTTGTTTATTATTATTATTATTATTATTATGAATTCCCAGTGTGAATGTGATGTATAACCCTTTCAGGTTTGTGAATAGGAGGCAGTGTCTTTACTTTTGATAAAGGAAGGGAGGATGTGATAATAGTCTACGGGAGAAACTCCTGTGCAGTATTTAGAATTAACAAACTTGCAGCATGTAAAGTACACAGGAGACCTCACGCCATCTCACGGGATTAATGTAGGATGTTATTCGTTTTTAAAAATAAATCCAACGACCTACCAAGTATGTCCCGCGCTCTTTGCCGTGTGTCCTCAGAGCCGGCCTGGTGGTTTTGGCGGCCGCCTGGCACCCGTCAGACGCCCCCTGCCTGGCTTACTTCTGCCTGGTCACCCTGCAGGACAACGGAGCCGCCATCTCCGACCAGTTCACCGTGGAAGTCACCAAGTACAACCCTCCGTTCCAGGTCAGTCTTCACCCTCAGCCTGCTGAGGTCCAGAGTCTGCGTCTCACAGTCTTGTGTCCTGGATCCGCTGACGGTTCAGTACAACCCGGATACGAATGGACATGAAATGTTTTTCTGCTTTATTTTCTTCTGTCAATAAGGACGGTTTGCGTGTGACGATGCGCTCATCTTATGAGCGACAGAACAGCAGCCTTCAGGTCATTTTCTGATGACGTGAACCAATCGTCTTTTGTTTCTTTCCTCCCAACAACCCGTCCTCTGGTGTCTCAGAGCGAGGAGGCCCTGCAGGCCACGCGGCTGGTGCTGCCGCGCTGCCCCGGCTCCACCGCCTTCCTGCACAACGAGGAGATGGTGTTCGCTTCCCCCACCTGCACCGGCAGCGGAGGACTGCCCGACGAGAAGATCAGCTTCAGCTCCCCCGGTGAGCCGCCGGCGAGTCGCATTAGTGTCATGGTGCAGTTGGGTGACGGCGTGCGCAAAGGGGAGTGATGGCGTCTCCGTGTGTACGGATCAAATGATGCCGGAGCAATAAATTCAACCAGCAATGTTCCTCTTTTAAATTGTAGATCACAGGAAATTACAATGACATTTTATTAAAAACCAGGTGACGGCGTCCGCGGAGGAGGCTGCTGCGCCGACCTGCCCGTCTTCTTCTCCCAGAACAGCGGGCTGGTGGCGGTGGTGGCGCGGCAGAGCGCCTCCATCCTGCCGGAGACGATGGAGGACTCGCTGTTCGCCTCGCTGGCCGCGACGCCGGAGGTGAAACCCACGACGCACGCATAGAAATAGATGTTTATTTATTTCTAGAATTTATATTGTTGTGTTTATATATAATATATATATTAATTGATTGATTCTATGTGAGAAAACAGAAAAAACTGTTTCTGGTTTTAAATTGTCGTCTGTTTGGAGGTTTCCGTGATGGAGACTCCGACCAGAGCGGAGCCGGTCGCTCAGGAGGACAAAACCAAACTCCTGAAGGCGGCTTTCCTGCAGTTCTGCCGGTACGTCGATGAATATCCCACAAATCCCTTTTCAAGCAGGACAAATCCTTCACGGGTGTTGTAAAATGGGATATTATATTATATATAATTATAGTAAAATCCTCAAGCTTCACAAATACAGTCGCCTTTCTCCCCGCGGTGATTTTTTTTAGGAATATGTAATTATCATTACTTTGAACTTCAGATGAACATTTTAAAATCTTCAGTTTTGAGTTTTTATTTTTACGGCTCTTCAATCGTTCTTTGACTAAATCACTGAGGATTTAGAACCCACGTTTAGTGCCTGTGATACTTTGACCGGAGAGTAATTGACTTTCCTGCGTCAGCAACGACCTGGTGGGGGCTCAGACGGTCACAGACGAGCTCTTCCCCCCCGACGGCGAGGGGGGCGGCGAGCTGGACGACGTGGTGACCAGAATCGACCTGGACCTGGTGGACGACTACCCGGCCTCCGACCCCCGCTGGGCCGAGTCCGTCCCCGACGGTGAGGGGGGGTCCAACTGACCTCATTCTGGTGGAGCATCTCTGCACTAATGAATATATATATATATATATATATATTCATATCCATATTTTGTTTTTCTCTTTCATAACTTCACTGGTACGTGGAAAAAAAGAAGATTATAGGTTCTATTTTTTATTTTTACAACAATCTAATTGGAATTCTTTCTAAAAGCTTTTGCTCAATCAGCAGAATCTTATTCCACAAACAACAAAGACCGAAATGTACAAATTAGACATTTAGTTTTTTTTTTTTTAAACATCTCATTTAAAGACTTTTCTGTCTTTTATTCCGCGTTAAATAATGTTTGTTTCTCCAGAGAGCGCCGGCTTTCCTCTCACCTCCCTCATCATCCTCCACCAGCTGGAGGACAAGATGAAGGCCCACGTCTGCTTCATGGACTTCCTGCTGCAGGTACACACACACACACACACACACACACACCTTAAATATGAGGAATAATGGTGTAAAGAGCTTTCTTTTATCATTTCAATCCTATAGTTGGACTCATTATTGGAGGAAGATGAATAATTTGATCCAGCACAAACAGATAAATTGTTGTTTTAACACCTACATTTCCCACAATCATTCATTTCATCTTTGATTTGCTTGTGTTCTGCTAGTAGCAGCTAATGTTCTACCAACTCGCGTCTTTCTAGCTCAATAAGTGTCAAACATCTTCATCCCAACAAGAAATGAATTTGAGATTATTTGCCCCTCCTCCCTCCAGGCGGGTCTGCTGGACCGCCTCGGCTGCGTGACGGTGCGCTCGTCTCCCATGGCGACGCGCCTGCTGCTGTGCGAACACGCCGAGAAGCTGCAGGCGGCGATGGCGCTGAAGAGCCACCACACCAAGCGCGGCGAGCTGGTGAACCGGGCCGTCGGCCTGGCGCTGCAGAGGAACAACGCCGCCGTCCCGCCCAGCCTCACGCCCGCCGACGTCTTCTTCAGGGAGGTGGGTGTTGCGGGCGGAGTTGATGGAGGAGGAGGAGGAGGTGGAGGTGAACTAAACGGTTGCTGCTTCGCGGTGCAGGTGTCTCAGATCTCCTCGGTGTTGGATTGCCTGCTGGACGAGGAGGAGCGGAGTCTGAAGGAGAACCCGGTGGACTCTGTGCAGTGGGCCGAGGGGGTTCTCGCCGTCAACAGCATCCTGAAGGTAAACGCACATCCGGCACCTCGTGTGTGTGTGTGTGTGTGTGTGTGTGTGTAGGACATGCTGCAGACCATTAAGAAAGTAGTTTATTCATTTATTACAGTTATTCTCATTGGAACCGTTGGGAAATGGTTCCTCAACTATTATTAGTATCTGTTGTTAATCTCAATGTGAAAACCCCGTGTGTGTGTGTGTGTGTGTGTGTGTGTGTGTGTGTGTAGGACATGCTGCAGGCTGCTACTCAGTACAGGGAGACCAAAGCCTTCATGTACAGAGCCTCTGAGAGCGCCGCTGCGGAGCCGGAGTACGTCCCGTGGACGGGTGCGTCTTTCCGTCTTCATCCGCGTCACGTTCAGCTCCTTCTGGTTTATTTGGGCCTGAAAGCCAATGAGTCTGCGTGTAAAATAAGCTCAATGTGCGGCTTGTTTGTGACTCAGTTGAACTTTTTGTGTTTTTGGAGTCCAGAAATGTTTGAAAACCCTTTTTTGTGACGTTTAGATCATCCGATCTCACAAAACTCTCTTTCTGGTCCGTAACTCGAGCCGCTGAAGACAACGGCGTCAGATACTGACATCACAACGTCGTCTCTCCCGCAGCGTCGGGCGCCGTCGGCGGCGTTCGCTCCGTCATCTCCCGGCAGCACGACCTCGTCCTGCGCTCGGTGTACCCGCACGCCGACTCGGAGCTGCGCGCCGCCCTCTGCGAGCAGCTGGCGGCGCTGCTGGACGTCCACCTCGGCGGCTACGTGGCCCAGCTGACCTCGCTGCAGCGGCAGAGGCCCCCGGGGGCCCAACAGGAGCGCTACAACAGCCTGGAGATGGAGTACAGCCAGCGGCGCGCCGAGCTGCTGGCCCCGCTGCGTGAGTGTGGAGGAGGAGGACGTTTAAACGTCTTAAAGGCACAATGTTACTGTCTCACTCGGGACGTTGTAGCAGGTCACACCGACTCTCTGTCTATTTACATGTTTTCCCTTTTATCTGACTAATAACAATGAATTAACCAACGTTTCGTCCTATAAGATCCCATAAATATCAAAGTATGTCACATAGAACAGACTAGACTTTGAGTAGTGAACTTGACATCAGATCAACGAACAATCAGGGCAAAGATGAGAAAGGAGAAATTAGATGAATCTGCATGAAAGAAAGAAAAAAAAAAACATTAATATTTTGTGTTGCAGTGGAACTGGGTCAGTACCAGTGGGTGGCGGCGCTGGCTGAGAAGTACTGTGACTTCGACATCCTGGTCCAGATGTGCGAGCAGACCGACAACCAGAGCCGCCTGCAGCACTACTTGACCAAGTTCGCAGACCAGGTAACCAGAAAAGACCTCCCCCGCTCGCCATCGCACACCGCAGACGCACACAGTGTGGCGGCGGTGTGCGATGGCAGGAAGGAGGGACCCTTCGCGTAGAGACCTGTCAATCAGAGTGTAGCCCCGCCCCAAAGCATACTCCGCTTCATGGTCTGTATGACTCTGAAACTACAGAGTCCATAAACTCGTGTTTACAATGGAATAAATCCAGAGAGAAGTAGTAGTTTTCTCCCAGAGGAGTCGCCCCCTGCTGGTCACTACACAGAATGCAGCTCGATGACAGAACAGGAAGTTGAATTGAAGTTTGTAATAGAGAAGCGTCCTTTGTTCAAGTCGCTTTTATCTTGTAAAACCAGGTGGTGTAATTAAGCGTTTGCACAACTTGATTTTACGTGCCACAGTTCCGCTTTCGCCTTCCGGAACCCCGGCGCCTTCTCAACCAGGCCCGCTCGGCTCACTTCCTCTTTGCCCCACTTCCTGCCGCAGAACTTTGCTGACTTCCTGTTCCGCTGGTACATGGAGAAAGGGAAGAGGGGGAAGCTGCTGTCCCAGCCGGCCGCGCAGCACCAGCAGCTGGCCAGCTTCCTGCAGTCGCACCAGCACCTGAGCTGGCTGCACCACATCCACGTGCACGACTACTGCAGCGTACGGCGCGCGCACGCACACGCAACCACATCCTGTCAGCCGTCGACGCGAACAGACACCCACATCCGTCCTTCCTCTTTTACACTTCCTCTAGAACTGATTGCTTCTTCAAATCTTTCGTCCTTTCACGTTTTCTCGCTTTCACTCACCCTCCCTTCCTTCCTCAGTCTTCATGTTTCCTCTGTTTCGTCCTTCCATCCTATTTTCCTTCTCTGCTCCCTTATGTTTAGTTTCCTTCCTCCTGTCTTCACCTGTCCCCTTTTTGTTCCTTCCCTACATCCAACCCACACTTTCTTCGTATTTTCTTCTCCCCTTGAACTTTTGTTTCCTCATTTCTTTCCTCAATCCTATGCTGCTTATTTCTGTCTTTCCTTTTGTTTCTTCTTTCCTTACACCATTGTCCTTCACCTGCCTCCTTCCTTCCCTCTTACCTATGTAGGTTCCTTAATTTCCTCCCCCCCATTTACCTTTTTTTTATCCTTTGAATCAGTTTGTTTGTTTCTAGTGGCCTTCTTTCAAGTTGACCCCTTCCTTCCTTCCTTCCTTCCTTCCTTCCTGTTATTGTACAATCACCACAATGTGCAACAGAGGAAACAGTCTGTTTCCTTCAACAACTCAGCAGAGTTGTTGAAGCTTACAACACGCGCACACACACACACACCGCACACACACACACCCCCCACACCTTCCATCCTGTTTGCAGTTACCATGAACCGTCTCCACAGCCTTTGCATCTGTTCTTCGTGTGACGCTGCGACTGACGAGTCCTTCATGAGACTTTTCCACGTGTAATAAGGAATGACGCTCCGTGTCCCCGCAGGCCAACCGCACGCTGCACAGCCAGGCCAACGCGGAGACGCGTTACTTCGTGAAGAAGAAGACGCTGCTGGCCCTCAGCAAGCTGACGGTGCTCTCATCCGACCTGCCGGAGGACCAACTCGACAAGCAAGTCGACGGTAAAAAAAAAGAAGAAGAAAGCTCTGCTCGCTTTGTAGTCTCTCGCTTGATAAACAGAGTCGGGATGTGACTTTGTTAGTTTGATCCGGACGGAAACTAAAAGGTGACTTTTTACTGATGAGAAACCAGCAGAAGGTCACTCGTAGACTCGCTGAGGGCGGCAACTTGTCGTCCTGTAACCGGTCGCCACCGTGTCTGTAAATATCACCCTTATATTGTGAAGCATCTAATTCACTAAATGAATACCATGTTGTATTTTTTTTTGTGTGTGTGTGTATATATTATATTTATTATATATAATATATATACACAAAAAATACATTATTTTTATATATAAAATATATTTATATATATATTATATTTTATATATATATAAATATATATAATATTATATATATATATATATATATAATATATATATATATAATAAATTATTATATATGTATATGTACGTATATATATATGTATGTATATGTATGTATATGTATATATGTATATATATATATACATAATTTATTATATATATATATTTATTATATATAATGGATGGATGACTACTAGTAATTTTCCCATAGACTCTATGGGACCAGAGGCGTCGACCCCTGCTGGTCACTACACAGAATGCATCTTTAACACATGAAGCTTTGGCTTCACTTTTCACAACCTGGTTTCAACCAGAGAGAATCAGCGTGTCGTTTTTCTGTGCAATCAGAAATCGTGGAGCAGGGGCGCTTCCTGCTGCATCAGGAGACTCTTCCCCGACAGCTTCTGGAGGACAAGCAGCAGAACCCCGACACCATGCCGCTGCTCAGCGCTCACGACCTCATACAGGTGCTTGTTCTCATCAAACCAGATCAACGCGTTTGTTTTATTTCTTTGGCACCGTGAGCCGGCGGCCATGTTTAAGTCAATTGGGACGCTCTTATTCTCAGACCTGTTTGAGGTCACAATTAAAGACAAAGAAACCATCTGAATTTTGCGGCGGGTTTACGCAAACAAGTTTTTCACATTGACATTTCTGAAACCGAATTGCCGCCCTTTGTGAAACGGCCGCGTTGCTCACGTCAGCGTTTTCCTCGTCCCCAGCTGTACATCTGCGACGACAACAGGCGAGCCAACGAGTACGACTTCAAAAAGGCCCTGGACCTGCTGGAGTACATCGACGAGGTGACCCTCCGAGTCGCCCGTCCGCTGGAGGTCCGACGGCTGCTGAAAGACGACTCGCGTGACCCCCTGCGTGTTTTGTGTTGCAGGAGGACGCCGGGGACATCGACTCGCTGAAGTGCGAGATCTTCGGCAAAGCGCTCAGGAGAGACGAGTAAGATCCGTCGGTGGCGTTTTTGTTGGTCCAGGCGTCTTTTATTAGGAGACTGAACTTTTAGATTGTGATCAAACGCCGAACGCCGGTGATGTTTTTGTTTGTTGTTGATGACGCTGCGTGTCTCCCAGCTGGTTCTCGGATGACGGGACCGACGACCCTCTGGAAGCCGCCAAGGACAGCGTCTTTGTGAAGATCCTCCTCAAACTCATCCAGGAAGGTGAGAGACGCCCACTAGCGCGTCGCTAACCCAATGCAGCTACCGCCTCCGCTCTAATAACTGACGGACAAAATACGTGTCAACATTTGCTGATTGAAGACATTTAGTTCTGCTGAGCTTTATTTTGCTAGAATGTGAATGATCTGTTTTGTCCCTCAGGGGTTTCTCTGCAGACGTACCTGCCTGACGTTAAAGAGCTGCTGGAGCTGGACGACCTGAGCGCTTTGAAATCAAAACCCTATTTTGAATTTGTCCTTCGGGCTAATTATGAACATTACCTGGAAGTCCAGATGTGACGACTCGTCGCTTCCCTGTAACGCCGACTTTTGCACTTCAGCTTTTATTCGCCTTCTAACAGCTTTCAATATTTGTTGGAGTTTTTCTCTTTTCTCAATAAATGTTATTTCTGTAGCTTGACTGCTGTGTTTTGTCTATAAATATATTTTCTTAGAGAAACACAGTTCAGTATTCTTCTGATCAGAGTGCTGTTAAGGTTTCGGAAGCTCTCGAGGGAGGACTCAATCCTTTGTTCTCGTCCCGGCCGGAAACGAGGACACGAATGAGTCAATTCGTTTAAATTCAAAAATCAAAAGTTATTTAATAACTGAACAACGTAATAGGGATTACAATTACAAAGTGAAATACTAAGCGAACAGTGGAATATTTCGCGAAATAGAGAATCCTCTGAGCAAGTCTGAAGTGACTTATCAACGCGGCTGCAGGAGAAGTTCTAACAGTCTTTTCCCCGCCATGGTCCTTTGAAACCTCTTGAGGTGTGTCTTCTTTGGTGCATTTGAATGTCATTGGCCTCTTCTCCAAAGGGTCACCTCCTCCATTGTCCCCTTCACGTCGAGGTGTGAAGCTGCAGCTGTAACCTGAAACCTCACTGTACTAGCTGTCCCTCACATTCCAATGCACTCAATGTAGATACAGTTGGCTTTATGCCCCAATGAGTGAATTTAACAAAGCATACATCGTTTAAGTCTTCATCTTATAACTAGTACACTTTCATTACAACAACCCATCACTAATGATCCCCGTTCATCACACTTCATCATAAGATCTAAAACAGTTCATGTGGTTCAATTCTCAAGACATTTGCCTCAGTCGGCTGCCTTACATGAAGTTGTTCATTTATTACCTGACAGGAGAAAAAACTCCCAAAAAACCCTCTTTGGGGATAAAATTGGGAGAAATCCATAAAAGACGGCAATTGGCATCCGTCCCCAGGTTTTAACATCACATTGTGACAGAATGTTAATGTGTACAGTGTTTATATGATTTAAATGACTATGAATTGTGTTTGATTGAAATTGCATTCACTTCATCTAACATGTTAATGTAATAACTAATATCTACACAAACTATAATTCTAACACTAAACATTATTACACGTACTATAATTTCCTGACTAGGGGTGCACTTCTGGCTTAAATCCCTAACACCCCCAAACAACCACAACCCCCCCGATGGCCACATTGCGATATAGTCTGGCCTTTTGGAGATGAACAAGATGAAAATATCTAAACTTTGTAGCAACAACATCATTCATTAATCGGGATTAATACATTTCAAAACGAGCGATTAATTAGTTATTTTTTTTAATCTATCGACAGCCATAATATTGAGTTATATATAAAATGATGAATGTCACCTCAGCAGTTGTCTGATCTCTTTCCCGGGAAAAAGCTTCGTGAGGACCTTTTTCTTCTGGACAGAAGAATAAATAAACAAATCAAATCAAGTGAATAAACGACTGCGTGAATGTAACATCCACATCTGCATTTCATCACAGTGGAGCTGAACCGCTCACCAGATGAAGAGGACAGTGAGGATCATGATCACCAGGGAAATAACTGATATGGACACAAGAGCTGCTGTTGACCTTGTGGAGCCTCCTTTTCCTACACGGGAAGAAAACAAACAACGAATATAATGTATTAAAATATGGCGGGTGGAAGATGAATGAATATCGGGGACCTTAAGATCTGCTCTATGCAGATGATGAACTTTAACTCAAATTAAATATGAGTAGAATGTCTTCAAAACAACTCTTGATTGTTCAGTGATGTAACTCTTCTTGTTCATTCTATCATTTGATGAGATGACGCAGCATCAAACCCTGTGATGACATGTGTATATGTATATATATATATATATATATATATATATATATATATATATATATACATGTGTTTGTATGTTTATATGTATATCTATGCACACACACACACACACATATGTATATATATTCTGCCGCCACTGCCAATGCGTGTGATTTACCTGAAGAAGTAATCAGCAGTAAGGTGGAGTTACTACGTCCCATCTCGTTCTGGGCTTCACAGTAATAATTCCCACTGTGTTCAGCTGTGAAGTCAGTGATGGTGAAGATCTGTCCTGATGCTCGTGGTGAGTCTTCATGCTCCTTGTACCAGGTGTAGTTAGCTGCTGGGTTAGCATCAGCGCTACAGGTCAGAGTCACTGAATCGCCCTCCAGCATCTCAGCAGAGGGACTCGCTGACACAGAGGGACGCTGTGGACCATCTGGAGGAGACGTGTCAACATATTGTTACAAGTTAGAGTTCAATAAATAGAAGTTGATAACAAAACACTACCTCAGTAGTGATTATGTTGCTTTTAAAAAGGTTGTTTCACTCACATTTCACGTCGATAGAGATGAAGTCAGACGTCTTCCTCCCCAGCTGGTTCTCAGCGGTACAGAAATACCATCCAGAGTCAGAGGACTGGATGGAGCTGAAGACCAGCTGAGGTTCTTCACTGAGAAGACGAGGGTCTGACGTTCCATCCTGCTTGTACCAGGTGTAGTTAGCTGCTGGGTTAGCATCAGTGCTACAGGTCAGAGTCACTGAACCGCCCTCCAGCATCTCAGCAGAGGGACTCACTGACACAGAGGGACGCTGTGGACCATCTGGAGGAGACGTGAATAAACATACTAAGAGGTTAGAAGATGTTAGCGTAGATAGTTGATCATTTGAATGAATACTTGTGTGTCTTTCTCTCAGACTATCTCTAGTATTCATCACAGCAGCTGTCACAGGTGAGACTCCTGCTGGTGTAAAGTGACAATAAGCAGCCTTTAATCCTTTGTAATGTTCATATCTCCACACATTCTTCTCTTTAGATGCTGCTTGTGTCCTTAGCTGAGTCTGTCCTCTCACTTCTAGTTGTTGTAGGAGTTATTGATTGTTTCCTCCACCAGCTGACACGTCACTTCTACTTATGTTCTGGAATAATTCACTTGAGTCTTTATGAAAATCACATTATTCTGTCTGCTGATGGTTTATATTTGTGTTTCTATTAATAAGAGAATGACATAAATAAAGATCTGTGTCTCCTTTAACATTTAGACTCCAGTGTGTTTACAGCTGTGATTAGAATCATATTGTTGTGTCAGTGTGTGAGTGACTCTTCTACACGTAGACTGCAGGGGCCGGGGATTGAACCAGCAACCCTCTGGTCAGTGGACCACGGCTCCACCTCCTGAGGAACGTTGTGCTTCATCTTTTTGATGCCTCTAGTTTACATGCAGCGGTCTGGTGCCTCCATGTGAGATGTTGTTGAAGCTCCACAGGCCGACACAGTGGAGTGAACTTACACACTGCAGGAGAACGTTGATTCCAAGATCCTCTTAAGTAACAGGAATATCTGTCTGTAGAACCAGAGGAGACTAGAAGAGAAGATCCTCTCTTGATGATCTCTTCATTCTTGTACCAGACGTATTCAGCACGATCAGACAGAACACAGCTGCTGTGACACGTCAGCTCCAACCAGGTAGAATCTGATCTTCTCACCTGCACCTGAAAACCTGAATCTGTGAATATTATTTATTAAAGTGTCAACATTCACAGAAGACATTTATACTCTAGTTTTCTAGATGTTGAACATTTGTAGATGATTAATATGTGAATTAAAATGTTACCTGTGACAGACAAAGTGACTCCAGGTGAACCAGTATATTTCTCTCCTGGTTTGTTTGTCCTGATTGTGAATTTGTACTCAGCTGAGTCGCTCTCTCTCACGTCTGTGATGATCAGAGTGCATCTCTTACTATTACTAAAACATTCGTACTCCACACGGCCTGAATACTCAGAGTCTGTTCCCAGATCCACAGGTTCACCATCTTTCTCTTTAATGAACCAGAATGTGTCCTTTATATCAGAGGGATCTATTCCAGGTGGGTGTGTGTAGGTACAGATTATAACCACTCTTGATCCTTTTGCAGCACAGACGTCAGTCTTGAGGTAATCCAGTCTCCATCCATCCTGACTCTGTATCACTGTAACACAGCACATCAGGAACCACAGTCACACTCAGAACAACATCACAGGACACACTCTCATTGGTAGTTTACTGAAGAGAAAAGATATGATGAGAAATATGAAAATCATTGAGTTTATAGAAAGTAATGAAAGAGTCCACGATGTCCACATGGACTCTGCAGCTGGAAGGAACAGCGACGTATTGAACCTGTGGACCTGAAAAAGCTCAAGTTGAAGTATTAGAAGGGTTTGGTTGATGAGAAGAAGAGTGTCTTTGCTCTGTGCTCTTCTGTCTGTGGTCAGTCTGCTGCAGAGTGGAGATGGAAACTGTAGAGAAATGCAGAACTCTGAGGGGAACGATACTGTGACACATAGATCACACCTCACTGAGGACACGGCGCTCAAGAAATACACAATAAAATGCTCCAAACAGAAGAACAAACGTCGTCAGAGACTCGGAGTGAATAACAGCCTCTAAATGTGGTCTAATGCAAAGAAACGCTGCTGAACGATTAGAGGAAGTTCAACAGAGACAAATTATTCAGAGCATTTCTTCTTTGTTAATGTTCATTTAGTCATTATTTGTGTGTGATGACATCAGACCTGTGTGTGAAGTAAAAACACAGCTCCCTGTGTGTGTGTGAGGTGTGTAACGGCCTCACAATATAAATGTAGAAGTACAGTACCTTGTACAGAGAGAAGGAAGACGACTAATCCACCGGCTGATGGACTCATAGCTGCTCCTCTGTGCTCCTTTTAAACTTACTTTAACACAGAAACAACAAAGTTACTCGTTTTTCGTTTAAAAACAAAACACGAGAAAAACGAAACTACGAAGCAGCTAAACCGGAAGTACGTAACCTTTCACAGTAAAGGTCAATGTTCTATGGTCAATGGCTATGTTCTTAAATATAACTGTTAACATCAGCTACCATTAGCGTGGGTCACATGACCACGGTTCTCAGCTGTGTTGCGTCATTATTCTAGACGACGGAGTGGTGGTAAAAGTGTACGTTTGGTCATTGTTTAATTTCGCGCCGTTTGTACTCGCTACTTCCGGTCGTGCTGACGTACACGTTCCCTCCATAGACCCCGTGTGCAGGGAGCTGATGTGCGGAGACCAGAAGGCAATGTCTGTGTTTTATTGTCTTTTGCAAATAAATGCTGAAAAGATCAGTACCTGAGTTGACTACTTCCATGCCCTAAACACATCTGTTACACATATATAAAGGTACATGTCTATGATGAGGATCATATGCATGTATAAAGGTACATGTCTATGATGAGGATCATATGCATATATAAAGGTAAATGTCTATGATGAGGATCATATACATATATAAAGGTAAATGTCTATGATGAGGATCATATGCATGTATAAAGGTACATGTCTATGATGAGGATCATATGCATATATAAAGGTAAATGTCTATGATGAGGATCATATGCATATATAAAGGTATGTACCTTTATATATGCATATGATCCTCATATCATATATGTAATATGTAAATGATACATATTTACTGCTTGGTTTTTATAAGGTGTCTTAGCATCATAAAATAACCTGTTTCACAAGCTGAATATATCATCAGTGACAGTATCTGTTGTGATATGGTATTATTATTATTATTAGTGCTATAAAAGGCAATACAAGTAAACTATTTGCTCCTCTGCTGATCGTAAATACTCCGTCTGGATCGGCGGCTCCATCCTGGTCTCCTTCTCCACCTTCCAGCAGATGTGGATCAGCAAGCAGGAGCACGACGAGGCAGCATCCCCCCCAGGAGCAGTGAAACTCTTCAGAACAAGGTCTTTCTTTGACGATATCTTCACCACCACGGCTCGTCTGACCTGTACGTGTGTTATTTATTCATTTTGTTATTTCTTTTTCTTTCTTTTATGTCAATGGTTTTAATAAAATAAAGTCTCTTTCTCTTTTCAAGTACGACTGCTGTGTGCACACGTTGGAGGTTTTCTGCAGGTTTATAATAATAAAAAACACCATGATGACCATCATTTTGAGATACTACAAGATTATTTTTTTTTTACTTTTCTTGACATTTCTATGACTTTTTAACGTTTTAACTATTATATTACTTTTTTAAACAGGAGACCAGGAGTTTTTTAATAGTATTTTTCTACATATTTAACTTCATGTGCCTTTGAGCATCAAACACTGTATCCAGTTCTCTTTGCTGCAATCTCACAAAAAGATGCCAACAAATACCAACAGATTTAGCTTTTAAATATTCACTTAGTTTGGGATTTGTAAAGTATTGGGGAAAAATTCCCCATTCAACAACCAAGTTTCAGTAAGACAAAATAAATCAATATGGTGATCTGATATTAGTTCATTTACCAAAACAGCTTTAGATGACAGAGATCTGATATTCAAAAGACCCCCTTTAATTCTCCTATTTTGTTGCACTATTGCACTATTAGTTTTAACTTTAATTAAGTTATTTACTACAGCTCCTCGGTTGTTTACCTTTAACTTAGATAAGTGTGTCCGTGGGGCAGACAAGGTCTCTATAGGGTTCATTATGCTGAGTGACTGCTCAGATTGAAGCGCAGAGGAGTGTGTAAGACTGCGACTCTGCTCCCTGGTCTGAACTCTGGCTCATGGATTAAGTCCACTAAGAAACTGGGTCAGGTTCTTAGAAAGAAGTTCAGCTCCGTCCAAAGTGGGATGGATGCCGTCCCTCCTAATCACACCAGGCTCTCCCCAAAACGTCTTCCAGTGATCAACGAAGCCCACGTTATTTACTGGGCACCACCTCGACAACCAGCGGCGGAATGACGACATGCGGCTGTACATGACGTCACTTGTCAAGTTTGGGAGGAGGCCAAAGAAAACTACGGTGTCCGACATTGTTTTAGCGTATGTACACACCGATTCCACATTAACTTTAGTGACCTCCGAGCAACGTAATCGGGAGTCATTACCGCCGACGTGTATTACAATCTTACTGTATTTACGTTTATCCTTAGCCAGCAGTTTAAGATAAGACTCAATGTCCCGCTCTGGCCCCCGGTATACACGTAACTATGGTCCCTGGTTTCTCTTCACGTTCCTCAGAATGGAGCTACCGATCACCAGAGGTGGCTTCTCAGCGGGTGTGTCGCCGAGTGGGGAGAAGCGGTTTGAAACGTGAAGTGGTTGGTGGTTAACCGTGTGCTTCGACTTAGACTCATGCTTACTCCGGACAGTCACCCGGCCTCCCGCCCGCTCGGGGGTTGCCGGCGGACGGCTAGCAGGAGCGAACGCACCGGCTACGGGGGCGGGCGGGGTAACTACAGCGGCTAACGACGGAGCTTCCATGGTGCGGAGCCGCGCTTCTAGCTCACTAAGCCTCGCCTCCAATTTATCAAATATACTACACTTCTTACATGTACCATTATCCGTAAGGGGGGCAGAGGAATAGCTAAACATGTGACACACCGAGCAAGAAAGAGCAGGAGAGGCAGGGAGGGAAGACATCACCAGGTTAGCTGCTAAGCTAATGCTAACGCTAATAGAAGTAACGTTGACGCTAAACAACGTCCAAGCAACTATTCGATGGAGAGAAAATTTGCTAGGCGGTGAGGCGTTTAACAGCGCCTCACATAGATAAGAATTCACTGTTTGTGATGAAAAATATCACGCTACAGTCAACTCAGTATAGCTAGAGCTGTGAAAAGTTCGATGACATCAAACACGCTGGCAACAGGAAGTGACGCAACACGCGTACCGTCCCTCATATTCATGCAGGTGTGTTTAAGCTGCTTAAACTCTGTACAGTAACAGACCACATATCTGTGTGGGTTCATTGCTGACAGTAGGGGTGGGAATCTCTTGGCACCTCACGATTCGATTCCAATTCCGATTCAGAGGTCAACAATTCGATTCTAATCCGATTATCGATTCTAAACTACTTCTAAACTTTTTCTTTTAAATGAAGAAAAAGCTGCTCTTAGTCTCAGACCGGTCCGTATTTGTAAAATACCGGAAAAAAAGTCCAAATCTGTGAATATCTTGCCAACTTTCAATACGGATCGACTTTTTGGAAAATCCAAATAATGAGGTAAGATATGCGCAGGCTGCTCCATAGTTGGGTAAAGTTGGCAAGATATTCAGATTCAGAGTGACGGACCGGTCTGCGAGCTGGACGCATTGGTCTTAATGTGCCGGTAATGATGGTAAATGACGGTTGTAGCTGGTTGTCATCTACGGTCCACTACGGTTACCCAAGGGGGGCGTTTGTTTCTTGAAAACGTTTTATCTCATAATTTCTTTAGTGCAGAAATGGGCTTCTATAGTTGTGTGGATGCATCACTCCAGCCAATCCAAGGACGCGGTTTGTAACCAATCAGGTGTAGAGACCATGGTGACTGGCTCCGCCCCCTTACTGTCAGAAAGAACAACAGCGAGCGCGTAGAAAACACCTTCGAGCGCGAGCAGAGATTAACCTCGCGAGCGAGGAAGTTCACGCTCCGCGAGCGAGCAAATATCTCGCGCGAGACGGACTTTTTAAAAATATTTTTATTCCGATTATTAACTTTTCTGAATTGAGACCGAATCGAGAATCGAGAGAATCGAAAGAAATCAAAAAATCAAGAGCTGAAGAATCATCCACAGCTCCTTCACATCTCCGTCAGTGAAAGAACCGTAAACTCACTAAATGAATCATTAACACGTTTAAACAGCAATAAAACAGTGATGATAAAAGCAGAGACGGATCCATATTCAGTAAAGATTGTCACTCGCTGCCTTCATCAAAGTGGATACATGTGGACGGCGCCATCTCCATTTTCTCCTCCTCCTCCTCTTCCTTCACTGCCTTCTCTTCCTCCTCTTCCTTCACGTCCTCATCTTCCTCCTGGTTTTCCCTTGTTGAGTCAGTGGGATCTGCATCAAAGAACAAGAAGTACTTATTGGATAGTATTGTTGGACTGAAGTACAAAGGACCAGATAGTAGAATATCTGCAGGGCTTGTTCTCTAATGACTCCTTTGGGCCCTACAGGTTCTCATGGAGGTCTCATGTGTTTAATGGTTGTAATTAAGGTCATTGAGGTTAATGAAGTTCCATCTACAAACTGTCATCGTGTGTCTGTGGATACTGTGCACGCTGTGTACAAGAAGGACACGCACACAGATTCATTAAGGACATTAAGTACAACCAGAGTGTACGTGGATATAGTTTGACCTTTTGGAGACAAACAGGATTAATATTTAAGTTATTCATGATATGATGAAGGTTCTAACAGGCCTCCACACTGAGCTCTTCCTCCTCACCTGAGTGTCGTTCTCTGGTCTTTGTTCAGGCCGTTCTGGGGACATTCTTCTCCTCCTGCACAGAAGAATGAATGAAAAAACAAATCAATGATCAAATCAAGTGATTCAACGACTGTGTGAATGTAAGATCCACATCTGCATTTTATCACAGTGAAGCTGAACCGCTCACCTGATGTAGAGGACAGCGAGGATGATGATGATGTTGATCACCAGGAGAACAGATATGACAATAACAGTTGTTGTTGTTGACCATTTTCCTACACGGGAAAGAAAGCAAACAACAACAAATATAAACTATTAAATATGGAGGGTGGAGGATGAATTAGTGACAAAAATAAGATGTTTAACTCAGTGAAACAGAATATCCGGCCATCTTGGGTCGGTCAGCTGGCTCACCCATAACATTGTGTTGGTAGTAAAACATGTACTTATATGAATAATTATTATATATATAATACAAAAATGATGTTACGTTCTAACAAATAGAATAATGTTCTAAAATAGGTACAAGATGCATGTTGAAATCCGCTCCCTGCACACAGATGTAGTTATGACACTGCGTACTTATGAATAATTGTAACCATGGGTTTTCATACGGAAATGATATTAAACAGAACATTATTCATACGTATGCAGTGTCATAACTACATCTCTGATGTTTATAACAAACCAAAGACATCTAGCCTTTATATATAATATCTATGGCTGCATAGACGTCCTCTTTGTCCCCAAGTTGGCGACAGAAGAGTCACAAAGCGACAACCGAGCAGCTCAGGAAGAGAATCCAGCGCTGAAGAAAAGCTCATGTCCAATGTGAGACTTGTATGTTAATGACATGTGGTGCAATTAAGAACTCACTCTCTTGAGCTCTACATGTTGAAAGCAAGTATTCGTTTGTGTTTGTGCGTGTGAACGTGATTGTGTGGTGATGTAAACGGTCACAACAAGCAGCAGGAGAGCAACTTGTAAACCTCGAGGTGTCCTGAATGCTCCAAACATCACGCCGTTGTTTATTTAGGCTGCTCACATGTAACATTCATCTTTTTATTAACAGGACAAAGAAAAGGACTTTTCCCAACAGGGAACTCAGAAAACGTATAGCATGCCGCACCATGACATTGTGACTGCATACAAAGGTCACAAATGACCATATGAACATCTATTTATTGAACTTTAACAAAACTGCAAAGTGCAAATGTAAAACAAATCTCTTTTCTGGCATTTAGTCCAGCGCTTCTTTAATGTGTCTGGTCCATTTATTAAAGCAATGATGATAACAAAATTCTAAATAATCAATTCTTTTATACGGCCACATATTAAAAGAAGAGATGCAGATGTCATGTGCTGTAAACAAAGCAACTAGTGTGTGGTGATTGGGTTTCTGTTTGTTTGGGTTTTGGCTGTGTTCTCTTGTGTTTTGTTTGTGGCAGGGGGTGTGGCTGGCTGTTGGCGGCAACTGGACTGGACAAGACACACCTGCATCCAATAATCATCCTCCATATAAGCCTGGGCGTCTCATCACGGCGACGCCAGATTATTCCAGTCTACTACGAACGCCCGGGTGCGTCACCGCCCGGCTCTTCGTCCTCCCCGTTGTCAGGATCCTCGCCAGCCAATAAACTCTCGTCCGTATATCCGATCACTAACCTCTCCGTGTCTGCTTTGGGGTCCGAGCCTTCACCTAAACCTAACAGAATAATCTGGCCATAACATGGACCCCGCAGACGTGGAGAGATTCAG